GTTGTCAGCCAGGAATAACATGTTGTCAGAGTGCAAACATGTGTTATGGGCTGCATTAATTCCATATTGAGACCTGTTAAATCCTGCCAATACCTTATAAAGATTAAACAATAGTCAAAGATAATTTCCTTCTTGTACTTTGACTTCACTAAAATGTGTTCTTGGACAAGACTAGTCTTAGCTGTTCACTATTAGCCATTATAGCATTTTTCTTTGATAAAATCTTTTTCTTAATTTCACATCTTGCTCAATATAAAAAAAATATATTCATTTTTGATTTCCCAGTTAAACAAATAATAAAATCTGACCCAAGATACACAAAATTATTCACAAAACAAATACTGTACAATTATTAGACAGGGGTTAACAAAATTTTATCTTAGGAAAAAAAAATGTGCCCAATTTTTATTTCACAATAATGAAAAAAAAGAAATACCCATAGTACTGTGCAACAAGTAACAAAGCAAAACCTGAATATCTATGACTAGAAGAAAGGTATAGACACATGGATTAAATCAGTATATATAAGTATATGTATATCATAGTATTTATTGTAAGTTTTACACACCATAAATAACTCCTTTAGTTCTTTACCTCCTAAAAGTAAAAGTGATTAACCTTTGCCATAAGAAAAGTGCCTTGTGAGTCTGCACATCCATGCAGTCTGCCCAGGCTTTTTACCATTGGTAGCTGATATTTTATATTTTGATAAAGAAACACTTTAAAGGAACTCCACTCAGGTCCAAAAGCCTAACAAACATAGAATTCGAATTTCTTACATAGATCAACTGCGGCACCTAACACATAAAGATGTGCAAAAGATAATTAAGAAATATACTAAAAAAATGACATGAAAATTGTATTTTTGTCCTATTCTATCCTATTTGTTGTAACGCTCTTCAATTTTGGACCATTTTTCACATTTACAATGATAATTCTGGAAAACCATGATCAGAAATTATGCACACAACTTATTGGTCTAGCCCTACATAAAATGGAATATTCATCTCGAAAACTTTTTTCCATTCCCATCATGTCAAAAAAACCCAAAAAAACTAAGTAGAGTCCCTTTAAACTTTGAATAAACTATTCCAAACTCAAAACACAAATCCAGCAAGTGAATGGTCTGCAAAATTCCAGAATTACCATGTACAAATCATTGGGTACCATTTATATAAAGTTATAGCAGTCAAGATTTCCGTTACATCACAAATCACAAGCAAAAGATTACATGTATGTGTTTCCAAAACTTATATACTGGCTAAAATTACCTTAAAAAACTTACAACAAATATTTGAGCCGCGTCATGACAAAACCAACATAGTGGGTTTGCGACCAGCATGGATACAGACCAGCCTGGGCATCTGCGCAATCTGATCAGGATCCATGCTGTTCGCTTACCAACTCTATTACAAGAAGAGAAACTGATAGCGAACAGCATGGATCCTGATCAGACTGCGTGGATGCGCAGGCTGGTCTGGATCCATGCTGGTCGCAAATGCCCTATGTTGGTTTTGTCGTGACGTGGCTTATATAACAAATCTTTATCCAGAGAAGTATGTTTAATAAATAATTTTCAAAAAGATATCCTTTAAGCATATAGTAAAGGAACATGCTACTGTATGGTGTATTGACAACCTTAAATTAAATTTCAGTTTGAAAATCAGTGAACTGGCCAAGACTTAACAATACATGAAAAGTTTTTTGCAAAAATATATATATTTAGATCTACATGTGAAACTGCTAACTCTTATATATATATATTAAAAAATTAAAATTTTCTGTAACAAAAATATATAGATCTACAATGGAAAATTAAATTTGTTAACTCTTAAATAAAACAATAAAAAAAATATAAATGTGTCTTTCAAAAATATTTGATTATAAAGCTTAAACAAACATACTACACAGTTAATTAGGACATTTCATATAAACACAATCTGAAGGTGTCTCAAAAAAGTAATAACAATAATAATAAAAATAATTCTTTTAATCTTGCCCTTGTGTACAGAAATATTTCATTTTTCTTAATATTTCAAATTCATTTTAAAGATCAATAATAACTTCATAATTAGAAAGTCATCTGACATTTTTATGAAATGTTGTTCTTATATACAGAAATAGTAAATTTTTCTCTCTTTTTTTAATAAATTCAAAAATGATAAAGAAAGAGATTGTTTAGAATACTGTAATTCTGACCTGACCTGCAGGTATCTTTCTATCAAATCACACTCCCTTTCACACCCATAACTTTTCTTTTAAATTCTATCTCTAAAGTTAAGTATTTTCTAGCATAATACAGCAAAATCTCTCAAAATGAGAACCCTAACAAACCATTTTTTTTCGTTGCTAAAAGTAAGTCAATTCAAGCACAATACAGCTAAACTTCCAAAATATGAACCCTTATAAACTATAAGAAAATAATATACATAGTGACAATGTTAAATCCTGTACACAAACCCCCCCCTCCCCTACCCCCACCCCACAAAACCAAAAACACAAAAACAACCTCAACAGTTACAAGAAACTTTACAACCTTTTTTTATAAATGCCACTAATAATACCATTTTGCAATCATGTTAACAATGTGCATATCTCTAAATTTTATTTAATAGCCACATGATTCCAGACGAGTGAACAAAGATTGAAAAAAAAAATCAAATTTGAAAAAAAACAAACAACATGAATCTCGGAAATACATTTCCAGTCCCATTATGTAAAAAAAACCCCACTGGAGTCCCTTCAAAGTGTAATTTTGACAACACTTTCACTACTGAGAACAATCTTTTAAATGTTTATGAAAATAGGCAAAAAATCTATAGGCATGCTGCTTTAAGGTCAAAACTCACACTTATGAAGGAGTGGCCTAACATGTATAAAGAGCATAAGGCACATGTTGAAACATCTTTAGAATTAATAACTTCCTATCTTTTGCTTCCTTTTGTTAAAATAGCAAAGAAATGGGGGACATTAAAAGTTTTCGCATACAGAAGAATATTATACTTTTAGTTACTTAAAAAACTAATTTTTTTTTTGTTTTAACATAAGACATGGGACATCATGACTATACATAGATTAGCTCCTTCTAAACTTCAAAATGATATAATAATAAACCTACTGAAAAAAGGAAGCAAAATAAACTATATTTTATATATACAACACCATCTGCCAACTATTATCAATATATATGTATTTTATATATAATAAATCTCTACATCTACTAAGCAACAAATTTGGCACAAAACAACAACAACAACAACAACTTTTAAGTAGCTACTTTTTAGAATCAGGTGGCTATAAAATACGCTATTTAATATTTTCATTAACATATACCAGTACATTATAGCAAGAAATCAACACATCTGAGTATAGGTTAGAGTGCATATTGGGTGTTCCTCGTAAATAAGAAAGCTAAAAAGGAGCGGAGCTTGCGAAGCGACTGTAGCTTTCTTATTTACGAAGAACATCCAATATGCACTCTAACCGGCTTAGTGCTCCACCCACTTGCGTTTTATAATATAAAACGTCCAGTTTATATAAAATCTGTTCTATTAAGATTTGAAACCTGAAAATTTGAAAAATCCTCGTCGGTGATTGGCTTAAAAAAATGGCGAGCACTAAGAAAGTTTAGCTACTCCTTACCCTTCCAGATAAAATTTTTATGTTACTAATTGCAAGTTTATTATAATATGTTTGGTAATTAGGACTATAAAACAAAATGACCAATCTTATTTTTTATTAAATGCCGCAATAACATAAAATCTTGGCTGGAATATTAAACCATATTTAATCCAATGCAAGACTGGTTCCCCCTCTTCCCATAAAATTTCAACAACTATAGTTACCATGTGACTGGTTTCTGTACTTGTTGTGATCCCAAATGAGCTAATGAACTCAAAGGAGAAAAATTCAAACCAAAGGAAAACATAAGTGCAAAAATTTAGACCCCTGTCTTTTATGTGACCAGTTTTATGGGTGAATAACTACTGCAAACTATCAGAACACTTAGAGTTGATTTACAACATTGTGTATAACAAAAATGCCAGTTTAGAAAATCATTACAACAAAAGTTTTACTTAAGCAACAAAAAACAGCATGCAAAGAAAATAAAATTTCAAAACATTTACATACACATTGACTGGTGTTATTCTTAATCTTATCTTTGTTTAAACAAAGAAAAAATCTTGTGCATATTTCAATCTTGGAGGGATAGAAAATATTCTATATACAAATTTAATATCTCAGTCTGACTGTGGAAAACAGAAATTACACCAGAAAATATTTGACTATCTTGAAGAAAAGAATATATTCCTTTAACGTTCTATGGGAATAGAACATAGTCCATTTATTATCACATGTTTAAATCTCTAAGGGAATAAAACATATTTCCTTTAAATATTTCAATATGTGGGAGGGGGTGTCAGAAAATATCTATCATTTCTATTTTCAACAGTCTGGGAGAAAATAATATAATGTTAAAGGCACCTTTTTTCTTCTTTCGAGAGGCCGAACATGTGTTTGGTAATGTTTAAATGAAGGATTAAAGGACTAGAAGATCTTTTCATAGGAATTAGTACTGCTGAATGTGGAAAATTTGTCATAAAGTAAGAAAAATATAAGCAAAGTGGAAACTTGACTTCCATACATTTTTTTTTTTGGGGGGGGGGGGGGGGCTTCATGGTCCTTTAAAGGGACTCTGTAAGTGTATCACAAAAATGTATTATTTACAACCATTTTCTCTTATTACATAACAGCTTTTTTTAATAACATCTATTTCTATAACATAAGTTAATATGAAAACTGGTTACCATGGCAACCTTTTCCCCCCCTCTATGATTGAAATTAAAACAGAATCTGTGGCATAGTGTGTACTCAAAAAGTAACATATCAATACTTGTTAACCATGCATATAATAATACTTCTTATTTAACACATAAAAAATATTGTAATAAAATTCAAGGACATAGAAAAAAATTTATTCTACAACATTAACTCAGATATTTATTTCAGATTTTATTTTCCATTTTAACTGATAGTTTCACTATTTCTAACAATATCAATAGTAAGGTTATACAAAATATATACTATATATTCTTTTAAGTTCACCTACTTGATATGTACCTTGGATAATCCAGTTAAATACAAGACAATGATAAACATATATAAACCCTTGACATTACGAAAGAAAATATACTAAAAGTGCATAGCTAGAAATGTGAAAGTGAAATGCATAATTCAATAATGCAAGTTATATATGAGAAAAAAGCTTTTTTTTTGTTGCATGATTAGTAAGTAAGGCAGCTGCATCAATTTACATCAACAACATTTCTCAATGAAAGATGAAAATCCAACATAGTGATTGTCTAAATCTATATAAATGATGTTTGTTTTACTAATTATGTTCACAGTCTGAAATTTAATTGTTATAACCAGTCTAGGAATTAAGCTCTACCATTGGTCAATTTTCAAAAACCATATTCAAAATCAACCAATCAGAATCTTTAATGAGTCTAGGCTGGTTTTCAAACTTAATTTTTTTTTCAAAAATCTGGGAAATATTAAAGATTTAATGCAATCATATTATTTAGTTACAATTAATTTCATAATGAAAAAACATCTTAAAAAATAAATCACAAACACATATCATGAAATATAATCACATCTTACGAAATATATCACATGGAGATTAATGGGTGACAAAAAAAACCCAAAGCTTATTCAATCACAAATCTCAATAAGTATTTCAGCCCTATTTTACAGACATATGGAAATCATTTTAGTGAATTTCTCCACAATAAACAGAAGGAAAAAATACCAACATTATTAACCTAGTATCATTTACACAAAGATATCAAAAACGATTGAGAGAAAATAATAGGAATCTTGAAATTGAAAAAAAATCTCACTTAACTAACACAGGCTTAAGAAGATTCTAGTTCCAACAAAAGATGTCAAAAAACTTAGCACATGTTCTTAAAATATTTAAATTTTGTAAAAGGAACATAATAAAGATATAAACTTTGCATTTGTTTCACACATTATCGAAAGTTTGTGTACCAGGGTAAAAGATTACGTCTGGAAATACAATATTTATTAGCACGGACAGTAAAATAATTTCCAAGCACAGCTCAAGACTTTTGCTCATACAACACATGCCCGACTAAATAACAACACTATCTTGATTTGACTAATGAACTAACTCAACCATGATTATATTAAATGCATCAGTAAATAATTGAATGAATGGGCACATTATATATATATATATAATAAAATCTCTCCGTACAATACCTGTGATGTGACAATAATGTGCGAACTTTACATATACAGTGAAAATGAAGTAGCAGTTTCTATATCCCCAAAGCAAAGAGGTGACCGAGAGACAAAAAAAAAAAATTAAAATAAATGACAGAAAAATGAGATGTTAATTTTTTTTCTCAATGAATACATGTTATGAAATGATGGCATATTTTTTTTTTATTAATACAGATGTATAAATCACGAAAAAATAATGATATTTCTTCAATAAATATCCATATGACTAAGAATTAACACCTTTATCCAGAAAATCGCTATTAAAGTACATAAAATACATAACATAATTTACATGTGAATCATTCCAATAACGAAAGTATTATACTATAATATACAACAATAATCACCTACAGGTACAATTAGCGTATAATGTACACACGTACACCCTGGCGGTAACAGTCAATGAATAATTTACATCATTTTGAACATATATAAGTAGATTGCATATTTAACAGACAAAAAAAACGTGAAATCAAAAATAGAATCTGTAATAGTAACAATGATTTTTTGTTGTCTCTTGTTTTTTTTGTGATTTTTTTTTTCCTTCAAAAAAAATATAACAATTATACATATATATATTTACATAAACACAGAAAGTAGCTGGGCTACTATTCGTTGACTAGTTTTAAATCTTTTTTTTCTTTACCCTTCTGTTTTCTTATCATTAGAACTATTCTGCTGTATATTTGAGGCGTTGGAACCGCTTGGATTATTACGACGCCCAGGTTGGCCTCGACCCCCTCTTCCTCGACGGGGGCTCCCTGAACCCTCACGCTGTGGCAATGGTTTGCTAGGACTTGAATCTTTACTACTAGAAGAGGTTGACGAACCTTGCACTCCCGACCCTAAATTTTCTTTAGAATTATTTGAAGTGTCTGTATTCGGTCCCCTATTCATGTTTGGACCGCCTCCTCTGCCTCGCCCACCACCACCACGGCCCCGCCCACCTCTAGGAGGTCTTCCTGAGGTTTGTGGGCCTGTTTTACGTCCAATTAAAATCACTCTCTCACCATTTGGAGCTTGATTAAATGTTGCACGATTATCCTCTTTTGGTCCATCTTGACGCGGAGGTCTATCACGGTCATTTCTACGTCGGTAACGATTGTTTCTTCTTGCACCAGCTGTAACCGGAACAAAACAACAATAACTATCAAATGCGACTTGATACAAATATCATAGCTGGCAAACAAATGACAATAATTTTTGTTGTCGAAAAGGTACGAAAATTATAAATGGTAAAATTATGTTGTTTCCATAACCAAATAGTAGTCTCTCGGAGAGTTGTAGCATAGAATAATTCTGTTATTTTACACAAATAAATATTGCAATTAACTCGTAAATAAAAAAAAATGTTTCGGCACAAAATATCATGCCGATATTTTCAATAAGGTTTTTACCGTATAGCAAGGATTTCATGCAAGTACCATCTGCTGTTAAGGACAAATGCAAACATATATCTATCATATAGGTATTTTGAATTTATACTTGTGGTCAAGGTGTCATTCAAACCAGGAATTACTGGTTTGAGCCCTCCTGGGAGTCTCAACCACATTACCTCATATGCCAGTACTGGTCAGTTCTAGGGAGCTGACTGGAGAATGGTTTCAAATAAGCTTTAGACTTTCTTTCTCAATTAAGCTTAACAGAATAATATCTAAAATTTTACCAGTTGATGGCGTGCTATTATTTCTAGCTGTGGAGTTAGTTGCTGTCGGAGCACTCTCTGGTCGTTCAGGGTAAGTCTTCACTGGTATACCCTATAATGTACATATAACAATTATCCATTGTGTTACATAGAGTGGTGTACCCTACAATGTACATATAACAATTATCAATCGTGTAACAAAGAGTGGTGTACCCTACAATGTACATATAACAATTATCCATTGTGTTACATGAAGTGGTGTACCCTATAATGTACATATAACAATTATCCATTGTGTTACATGAAGTGGTGTACCCTATAATGTACATATAACAATTATCCATTGTGTTACATAGAGTGGTGTACCCTATAATGTACATATAACAATTATCCATTGTGTTACATGAAGTGGTGTACCCTATAATGTATATATAACAATTATCCATTGTGTTACATGAAGTGGTGTACCCTATAATGTACATATAACAATTATCCATTGTGTTACATGAAGTGGTGTACCCTATAATGTACATGTAACAATTATCCATTGTGTTACATGGAGTGGTGTACCCTATAATGTACATGTAACAATTATCCATTGTGTTACATGAAGTGGTGTACCCTTTAATGTACATGTAACAATTATCTATTGTGTTACATGAAGTGGTGTTTCCCTATAATGTACATATAACAATTATCTATTGTTGTTACATGAAGTGGTGTACCCTATAAATGTACATATAACAATTATCTATTGTGTTACATGAAGTGGTGTACCCTACAATGTACATATAACAATTATCCATTGTGTTACATGAAGTGGTGTACCCTATTATGTACATATAACAATTATCCATTGTGTTACATGAAGTGGTGTACCCTACAATGTACATATAACAATTATCCATTGTGTTACATGAAGTGGTGTACCTATAATGTATATATACAATTATCCATTGTGTTACATGGAGTGGTGTACCCTATAATGTACATGTGTGTACCTATATGTAATATAACAATTATCCATTGTGTTACATGAAGTGGTGTACCCTATAATGTACATATAAACAATTATCCGTTGTGTTACATGAAGTGGTGTACCCTATAATGTACATATAACAATTATCCATTGTGTTACAAAGAGTGGTGTACCCTATAATGTACATATAACAATTATCCGTTGTGTTACATAGAGTGGTGAACCATATAATGTACTTATAACAATTATCCATTGTGTTACATGGAGTGTTGTACCTTACAATGTACATATAACAATTATCTATTGTGTTACATAGAGTGGTGTACCGTATAATGTACATATAACAATTATCCACTGAGTTACTATGTACTGGTGTACCCTATAATGTACATATAACAATTATCCATTGTGTTACATGGACTGATGTACCATATAATGTACATATAACAATTATCCATTGTGTTACATAGAGTGGTGTACTGTATAATGTACATATAACAATTATCCATTGAGTTACAATGTACTCATAATAGTTATCTACAGAGTCAGAAAACACATACCCTCCTGCAGATGTGAAATGGACTCTTCCAGTCCTGAATTGTCCGGTGTTATCATATTACAATTTGCATTACCCACATTCTAAATTTGAGAAAACTGACAAAGGAATATGGTAGTATTGAAGATACCAATTTCCGACAAAAACTTAACTGAAATGTGATCTTGATGCTTGGGGTAAGAACAATAGCTCTTCCTTTTAGAAACTTTCTATTCCTCCAATGGTCAAACTAAATACAGAGAAGTATATCAATTAAAATTGAAATTACAACATTACCTCTAAAGTTAAAGAATGTTTCAACCTTCGCTGTAATTCTGCCATCTCGTGGGTCTCGTTACTATCTAACTTGGGTATACTAGGCTTCTGGTTGGTATCTACAACTAAAACATGTAAATTTCACGATAAAACTCCAGTATTTACTCATATATAAGACGCATTTATTTCCATCAGTTCAAAAGGTTTGTACCATATACCTCGACTTTTAGGTGAACCATAAAATCATAAAGGTGTTTCTTTTACATAGTCTTATAAAAAAATTATACAAGTCAAAAGAAAATTTGAACAGTTAACAAATCTTTAAAGATAACCACACTAAAGTTTTATACACCATATTTCTACTCCTTCAAATTCTTTTTGTCAATGGAAATTTGCTGATACATGAAATTTATTTTGATGTGAATTTACTATTTGGTTGTCCCATTAGCTCAGAAAGACTTTGGGATGTAAGCAAAATGGGGTTAAATCAAAGCAAGAGAAATGTTTGGCATCAGACAGTACTAGAGTTAACAACTTCTCGTTTATATGCTGAATTTGAACACATTTTTTGGTCATATCTCAGTTGTCTATCCACCTAACTGGTTTTCCTCGATAACTAACCAGTAATTACCAATATCTCTGCAGGTGACCGGCTTCTTATCCTACATAACTCTTAAATCAACAGTGAAAGACATAGTCAATGTCCCAAATCAATTGTCACAGAGAAATTACGCCTCACTAGAGGATCAGACCAGTGACCCCTGGTTTATTCACAACTCTGATAATCTACAATTTTTTAATAAGGAAATAAATGTCACAGGGTGAGAAGAATGGGCAGTCTGACCAGGACTCAAACCCGGAACCTTGTAATACCATACCGCGGCTCTACCGACTGACCTATCTGGTCACCTACACATCTTCTCCCCTAATTAGTGAACAGTTCTAAACTGTGACATAAACAGTAATACTTACCATTTTGAATAATTGGGGTAACTACAGAAGGTTTAGGTATATGCTCCTGAGGCTCTGGCATTGTCATACCACCTGGTAGACCAGCCATTGATCCTTGCATTTGAATGTATTGACATTTTACTGGTGTAACTACAATATACAAATTATGAACTCATTTGATATTATGTTAGTTTGTCTGAGCTTTAGTATAAATAGGCTGGGATTGCCTCATTTTGAGGAGTCGTAAGTCAGAATTAAGAAGAAACAAGCAAATTCGTTGAATTTATATCCCCCGCCGAGTACTGGTTATTATTAACACAACAACTGAAGACATAAGGCTTTATTTATATATCAATCATGGCATAAACAGTAATATTCTTTGAACTTGATAAATATTCAGGGCAATAACAGAGCCATAACTCTGTGTTAAATAGTAAAATCTGGAAATGCCAATGAGATGTATGCATACTACATAACTAATCAAGGGCCATAAATCTGAGTTATAAGTATCTGACTGGAACAAGGCGACTATATGCACATCTCCTCTTAGTATCCCATAAAGTTTCATTGAATTCCAGCCAGTAGTAGCAGAGAAGTAGCGAGGAAACAAATATTTTTCTATATGGATACTGCATAACTAATCAAGGGCCATAACTCCGAGTTAAAGTGTCTGACCGGAACAAGCCGACGATATGCGCATCTCCTCTTGATATTGATGATTCCCATACAGTTTCATTGAATTCCAGCCAGTAGTTGCAGAGAACTACTCCGGAAACGATTTTTACTCCATATGCATATTGCATTACTAATCAAGGACCATAACTCTGAGTTAAAGTGTCTGACCCAAACAAGCCGACGATATGCGCATCTCCTCTTGGTATTGAAGGTTCCCATAAAGTTTCGTTGAATTCCAGCCAGTAGTTGCAGAGAAGTAGCGCGGAAACAATTTTTACTCCATATGCATACTGCATAACTAATCAAGGGCCATAACTCTGAGTTAAAGTGTCTGACCGGAACAAGCCAACGATATGCGCATCTCCTCTTGGTATTGATGATTCCCATAAAGTTTCGTTGAATTCCAGCGAGTAGTTGCAGAGAAGTAGCGCGGAAACAATTTTTACTCCATATGCATACTACATAACTAATCAAGGGCCATAACTCTGAGTTTAAGTGTCTGACCCAAACAAGCCGACGATATGCGCATCTCCTCTTGGTATTGATGATTCCCATAAAGTTTCGTTGAATTCCAGCCAGTAGTTGCAGAGAAGTAGTGCGGAAACGATTTTTACTCTATATGCATACTACATAATTAATCAAGGGCCATAACTCTGAGTTAAAGTGTCTGACTGGAACAAGCCGACGATATGCCCATCTCCTCTTGATATTGATGATTCCCATAAAGTTTCGTTGAATTCCAGCCAGTAGTTGCAGAGAAGTAGTGCGGAAACGATTTTGACTCTATATGCATACTACATAACTAATCAAGGGCCATAACTCTGAGTTAAAGGGTCGGACCGGAACAAGCTGACGATATGCGCATCTCCTCTTGATATTGATGATCCCCATAAAGTTTCGTTGAATTCCAGCCAGTAGTTGCAGAGAACTACTCTGGAAATGAAATTCGGACTGACAGACAACGCCAAAACTATATCCCCCTCCCGATTCCATCGGCGGGGGATAATTAAGGTGGAAAATGAAATTTACTGACAATAAAATAATGATACCTCATGATACCTCTAATCTACTGGTCCACTATCTTTATTCAAATTAATACAGCAGACGATTTGTTTCCCAATCTTCTATTTTTAAAAACAAACATCACTGACGCATTATAATAAGCTGTCAGGGTGCAATTTTGTAGTGATAAAATGCACTTTTCCATGATAAAATTACTGAAATACTTTGTCTGAAACAACAAATAACTGTTTTTCCAACAGAAAATGAAAGCTAAATACAGCTTTAAAGAAGGAAACATTTATTTGTTTCTCAGTCATAATGGACCTTTAACTAACTTGACTTCTGAACCTGAAGACAAGAATTCCTTGAACAAGTGAATCACTGTGTTAAAACATACATATAAACAAAAATAAATATGATAACTGATGATAACAGATTTATTTATTTTAAGACATTTATGAAACCTTGCGGTTTGTGTCAATAAACATCTGCGTTTTATATAGTGCATGTGTGTAAATAATCATTACTTTGTGGTTTTAGGATACACAACAAAACAAATTCTAATATCGTGTGGCAAGATTAAATATTTGTTGACAGGGAATGACAAGAAATTTGATTTTTTTAAGTGTACAAGTAAAGTAATACTTGTAAATCACTGTGTAGTTTACATAAACTTAATTGAGTGTTTTGTGTGTACATTTAGAGTATAAAAAAGTAGCAGACATAACTTTTAAAACAAAATTCATACAACATATTGGATAAAGAATTCTATAGAAGATTTAATTGAAGTAACATAACAGTTTGACTGAGAGAAATAGTTTTCAGCTGGTTGTTTGAAGTTAGATAACAGACTGACTGAAGTAGAATTTTGATGAAGTAGCATTTAGTTGGTTGAATGAAGTAACATAACAGTTAGAATGAATGAATAAGATGTAGATGAAGTAGCATTTAGTTGATTGTATGAAATATTGTACCAGTTTTTATGAAGTAAGATGTAGGTGAAGTAGTATTTAGTTGGCTGTATGAAGTAACATAACAGAATGAATGAAGTAAGATGTAGATGAAGTAACATTTAGTTGGTTGTGTGAAGTAACGTTACAGATTGAGTAAAGAAGTATTTACCTGGTTATGTGAAGTAAGAGTGAATGAAGTAGTGTACATATACATAGATTTAATGAAGCAGATTACTGCACTGTAAGGCTGAATAAAGTAGTTTATTGCACTGTAAGGCTGAATGAAGTAGTTTATTGCACTGTAAGACTGAATGAAGTAGTTTATTGCACTGTAAGGTTGAATGAAGTAGTTTACTGCACTGTAAGACTGAATGAAGTAGTTTACTACACTGTAAGGTTGAATGAAGTAGTTTATTGCACTGTAAGACTGAATGAAGTAGTTTATTGCACTGTAAGGCTGAATGAAGTAGTTTACTGCACTGTAAGGCTGAATGAAGTAGTTTATTGCACTGTAAGACTGAATGAAGTAGTTTATTGCACTGTTGAATGAAGTAGTTTACTGCACTGTAAGGCTGAATGAAGTAGTTTATTGCACTGTAAGGTTGAATGAAGTAGTTTATTGCACTGTAAGGCTGAATGAAGTAGTTTACTGCACTGTAAGGCTGAATGAAGTAGTTTATTGCACTGTAAGGCTGAATGAAGTAGTTTATTGCACTGTAAGGTTGAATGAAGTAGTTTACTGCACTGTAAGGTTGAATGAAGTAGTTTACTGCATGTAAGACTGAATGAAGTAGTTTACTGCATGTAAGACTGAATGAAGTAGTTTACTGCATGTAAGACTGAATGAAGTAGTTTACTGCACTGTAAGACTGAATGAAGTAGTTTACTGCATGTAAGACTGAACTAGAACTGCCACTATCTTGGCGTGAATACCCCCGCATACCACTTTGTCAGAATCAACAGTGGCCATTTAGAGCGCAAGGACAACCTCCCTGCCAAATCTGAGGTTACTAAGCCAGTGCATTGCTAAGTTATGTATTCTACATGCTTCAAATGTGAAAATGTCAAAATCAATACATTGCAGACAGGACATTCTTTAGCAATTGAGAAGAAAAGCTTTTTTTTTTGTCAAGGTCCCTGTGACCTTGAACTTTGACCCAGTGACCTCAAAATCAATAGGGGTCACCTTATAGTCATGATCAACATCTGTGCCAAATTTGAAGACTTTGGGTCAAAGGAATCTTAAGTTAATGGGTGGACAAACTTTTTGAAGTCAAAGTCCCTATGACCTTGACCTTTGATCCAGTGACCTCAAAATCAAAAGGGGTCATCTACTTATCATGACTAACCTCAATGCCAAATATGAAGACTGTGGGTCAAAGGAATCTTAAGTTATAGGGCGGACAAGCTTTTTGAAGTCAAGGCCCTGTGACCTTGACCTTTGACCTGGTGACCTTTAAGTCAATAGGGGTCATCTACTAATCATGACTAACCTCCATGCCAAATATGACGATTGTGGGTCAAAGGAATCTTAAGTTATAGGGCGGACAAGCTTTTTGAAGTCAAGACCCCTGTGACCTTGACCTTTGACCTGGTGACCTCAAAGTCAATAGGGGTCATCTACTAATCATGACTAACCTCCATGCCAAATATGACGACTGTGGGTCAAAGGAATCTTAAGTTATTGGGCGGACAAGCTTTTTGAAGTCAAGGCCCCTGTGACCTTGACCTTTGACCTCAAAATCAATAGGGGTCATCTACTAATCATGACTAACCTCCATGCCAAATATGACGACTGTGGGTCAAAGGAATCTTAAGTTATTGGGCGGACAAGCTTTTTGAAGTCAAGGCCCCTGTGACCTCGACCTTTGACCTAGTGACCTCAAAATCAATAGGGGTCATCTACTAATCATGACTAACCTCCATGCCAAATATGAAGACTGTAGGTCAAAGGAATCTTAAGTTATTGGGCGGACAAGCTTTTTGAAGTCAAGGCCCCTGTGACCTTGACCTTTGACCTGGTGACCACAAAATCAATAGGGGTCATCTACTAATCATGACTAACCTCCATTCAAATTATGAAGACTGTGGGTCATAGGAATCTTAAGTTATAGGGCGGACAAGCTTTTTGAAGTAAAGGCCCCTGTGACCTTGACCTTTGACCTGGTGACCTCAAAGTCAATAGGGGTCATCTACTAATCATGACTAACCTCCATGCCAAATATGACGACTGTGGGTCAAAGGAATCTTAAGTTATTGGGCGGACAAGCTTTTTGAAGTCAAGGCCCCTGTGACCTTGACCTTTGACCTGGTGACCTCAAAATCAATAGGGTCATCTACTAATCATGACTAACCTCCATGCCAAATATGACGACTGTGGTCAAAGGAATCTTAAGTTATTGGGCGGACAAGCTTTTTGAAGTCAAGGCCCCTGTGACCTGACCTTTGACCTAGTGACCTCAAAATCAATAGGGGTCATCTACTAATCATGACTAACCTCCATGCCAAATATGACGACTGTAGGTCAAAGGAATCTTAAGTTATTGGGCGGACAAGCTTTTTGAAGTCAAGGCCCCTGTGACCTTGACCTTTGACCTAGTGACCTCAAAATCAATAGGGGTCATCTACTAATCATGACTAACCTCCATGCCAAATATGACTACTGTAGGTCAAAGGAATCTTAAGTTTTGGGCGGACAAGCTTTTTGAAGTCAAGGCCCCTGTGACCTTGACCTTTGACCTAGTGACCTCAAAATCAATAGGGGTCATCTACTAATCATGACTAACCTCCATGCCAAATATGACGACTGTAGGTCAAAGGAATCTTAAGTTATTGGGCGGACAAGCTTTTTGAAGTCAAGGCCCCTGTGACCTTGACCTTTGACCTAGTGACCTCAAAATCAATAGGGGTCATCTACTTATCATGACTAACCTCCATGCCAAATATGACGACTGTAGGTCAAAGGAATCTTAAGTTATTGGGCGGACAAGCTTTTTGAAGTCAAGGCCCCTGTGACCTTGACCTTTGACCTAGTGACCTCAAAATCAATAGGGGTCATCTACTAATCATGACTAACCTCCATGCCAAATATGAAGACTAAGGGTCAAAGGAATCTTAAGTTATTGGGCGGACAAGAAAAAACCGACGGACGGCCGGACGGACGGACAGCCGGACGGACGGACGGACAAGCTGATTCCAGTATACCCCCCTTACAACTTTGTTGTGCGGGGGTATAATAAAGTAGTTTACTGCACTGTAAGGTTGAATGAAGTAGTTTACTGCACTGTAAGACTGAATGAAGTAGTTTACTGCACTGTAAGACTGAATGAAGTAGTTTACTGCACTGTAAGACTGAATGAAGTAGTTTACTGCACTGTAAGGCTGAATGAAGTAGTTTACTGCACTGTAAGACTGAATGAAGTAGTTAACTGCACTGTAAGGTGGAATGAAATAGTTTACTACACTGTAAGGTTGAATGAAGTAGTTTACTGCACTGTAAGACTGAATGAAGTAGTTTACTACACTGTAAGGTTGAATGAAGTAGTTTACTGCACTGTAAGACTGAATGAAGTAGTTTACTACACTGTAAGGTTGAATGAAGTAGTTTACTACACTGTAAGGCTGAATGAAGTAGTTTATTGCACTGTAAGACTTGGTGAAGTATTTTACTGCACTGTAAGACTGAATGAAGAAGTTTACTGCACTGTAAGACTGAATGAAGTAGTTTACTGCACTGTAAGACTGGGTGAAGTAGTTTACTGCACTGTTAGACTGATTGAAGTAGTTTACTGCACTGTAAGACTGAATAAAGCAGTTTATTGTATTGTAAGACTAAATGAAGTAGTAAACGATGTAAACACTTACTTTCACCAAACTCTTCAATGTCCCTCTTCAGTTTATCATCATACATAAACCTTGTAGTTTTTGCCAGATCCTCATCTATCTTTCTATCACTTACAAAATGCTGAAATGTTCACACACAAGAAAAACCATCAAGTAATTACTTTGTTTATTAAGGTTTATCAAGGTTAACAGATTGTTGCAGCAAAATTTCAAACTACAAAGTATTTAACTGATGGGCAAATAGGAAAAAAAGAACCGTCTTGATACTGTGTGTACAATTAATTAAATTAGTCAACAACAAAAACTTTTCAAGGTTGCCTTCAGTTAAATGAGTTCAAACTATTAAATCAACCAAGAAATTTTCTTGCTATGATTTTGGAACAATTCAATTATTAGTTTGATCTTAAAACTAAACCTAATGAATTTCTGTATCAGATTTGTCCTGATGTGTATATGGAACAGTACATTCAAAGTTTAAGGGATTTCAATATTAAAATACAAATAAAATACAATACTGCAATCATCAGCTTAATAATAACAAACCTCTGTCAGTGTACAAAATGGCAAAACAAGGCCTAGGACATGACACACCCAAGAGCCTACAATACGACAACTCCAAAACTCTACAACATGACAAACCCAAGAGCCTATAACATGACAAAACCAAAGAGCCTACAACATGACAAAACTCCTAGAGCCTACAACATGACAAAACCATGACCCTACAACATGACAAACCAAAGAGCCTACAACATGACAAACACAAGAGCCTACAACATGACAAAATTAAGAGCCTACAACATGACAAAACCCAAGAGACAACAATATGACAAACCCCAAGAGCCTACAACATGACAAAACCCAAGAGCCTACAACATGACAAAACCAAGAGCTTACAACATAACAAACCCAAAGAGCCTACAACATGACAAACCCAAGAGCCTGAAACATGACAAACCAAAGAGCCTATTACATGACAAACCCAAGAACCTACAACATGACAAAACCCAAGAGCCTACAATATGACAAAACACAAGATCCTACATGACAAAAGCCTACAACATGACTAAATCCAAGACCCTTCAACATGACAAAACCCAAGAGTCTACAACATGACAAAACCCAAGAGCCTACAACATGACCAAAACCCAAAAGCCTACAACATGACAAACCAAAGAGCCTACAAAATGACAAAACCAAGAGCCTGAAACATGACAAACCAAAGAGCCTATAACATGACAAACCCAAGAGCCTACAACATGACAAAACCCAAGAGCCTACAACATGACAAAACACAAGATCCTACATGACAAAAGCCTACAACATGACTAAATCCAAGACTTTTCAACATGACAAAACCCAAGAGTCTACAGCATGACAAAACCCAAAAGCCTACAACATGACAAAACCAAGAGCTTACAACATAACAAACCCAAAGAGCCTACAACATGACAAACCCAAGAGCCTGAAACATGACAAACCAAAGAGCCTACAACATGACAAACCCAAGAGCCTACAACATGACAAAACCCAAGAGCCTACAACATGACAAAACCCAAGATCCTACATGACAAAAGCCTACAACATGACTAAATCCAAGACCCTTCAACATGACAAAACCCAAGAGCCTACAACATGACAAAACCCAAGAGCCTACAACATGACAAACCAAAGAGCCTACAAAATGACAAAACCAAGAGCTTACAACATAACAAACGCAAAGAGCCTACAACATGACAAACCCAAGAGCCTGAAACATGACAAACCAAAGAGCCTACAACATGACAAACCCAAGAGCCTACAACATGACAAAACCCAAGAGCCTACAACATGACAAAACCCAAGATCCTACATGACAAAAGCCTACAACATGACTAAATCCAAGACCCTTCAACATGACAAAACCCAAGAGTCTACAACATGACAAAACCCAAGATCCTACATGACAAAAGCCTACAACATGACAAACCCAAGAGCCTACAACATAACAAACCCAAGAGCCTACAACATAACAAAACCCAAGAGCCTACAACATGACTAACACAAGAGTCTACAACATGACAAACCCTGCAGCCTAGAAAATGACAAAACCACGAGCCTACAACATGACAAAATCCAAGAAAAGACGTTCATAGACGCATGAATGTAATTTACAAGTTATGAAATCAATATAAAATGTAACAACATGTCAACTTCCTGTAACATCTGTCCGACCCCACAAGATACTATCTATCACTGACTGGTTTTATATTAAACAGCTTGAACAGACACTGTCTTGTCAATGTGTTACCAAGTTTATTAATTATAGTCTGCCTTAACATCTAACTATAATTTTAGACAGATATCAAGATTTCTCAAAATTGATTCAACAAAATTATTTGCAATTTTCCCTAATAATGATGGATGGTTTAGTCCATATTAAAAGATGGACAAGTCCATTTCAGATATTTAGCATGATAAGGTTTGTAAATATTTCATATATATCTACATTTCAATTATAGAGAGCTTTCCTGGATAAAATTACCAACATTTTGATATTAAGAACTCTTAACTATAAGTGATTAAAGGTATATGTAGGTATCTGAATAAAACAAAGTTCATTATCATATAAAATCATCTTCTGCTATAGAGGACTTGTCATATCAGGAAAAATAGTTGTGACCCGAGTAGGGCTCAAACCCATGATCCCTAGGTTGAAAGGCAGATACCTCAACCACTAAGCCACTGCTAACTTGCTAAGTATCAATAAATGAAACAAATGGTACAAAACTCCTATTACAATCACTATCACATCCTAACGTGTATCTATATAAAAATGTTAAAATTAAACAGTCAACCGTATAACGAACATCTTGACAGTCTCCAAAGATGTGCAGGCTGGCCTGGTTTCATACGGGTGACATAAATCTATAATCATCATCGCTAGCACTACAAGATTTATGCTATAAATAGCGTTTTTTTAAAATTACACATACCTTTATATCAAGTCGTAAGTCAGACAGATCTTTTTCACCCATCGCCTCGGCACGATCAATCTTCACCTTGAGGTCATGGGCAAGTCCTTGACGCATGGTGAATACATCACCTGAAAACAAAAATTTGATTTGAACATATATATCTCTTTTCTTTTCAATGTCACTTATATAATTTCTAGCTTTAACATTTTTCTTTTTAGCACGATTGAGAAAGAAAGCTTGTAGTTTTTTTCCACTGCTCTTGAAACTGACCAGTACCGGTGCTATAAAGACAAAGTGTGGTTGTCTACCCAGTTACAGACATATGATTTTGTTTTCAAAACAGCATACATGTATATCAGGTTTTACTTGTATATATGATTAGTGTATGTGCTGGGGTTGACAAATTATTCACAATTTATTTGAAATTTAAAGCATTTAGAGCTCCACATACACATTGTTTGTGACACCAGTAATGTTTCATACCAAGAATTATTTCACACTGGAGTGGGTATGTTAGCAAAGTTTTCAATTTGCTTGTAAGCAAGATAGATTCATTTCACAGGTAATACAAAATACAGAACAAAGTATCCCCCGAGATTTACTATATACAATTTTTTTTTAGTCTGTGTAGGAAGGTTTAAGCTGATAGAGACACTCTAGAATCTGTATCTAGAACAATCCAGTACCTAGCGATAAGTGTACCGTTCCTTGCTCAAGAAAATAACAGCTTTCTCCGGACGGGGTTTGAACCCACACAGCAAGAAATCCTTAGATTAATAGTCTGACGCACTAACCACTCGGCCATGCAGCCACTCCCCCAAGTTTTGTTCCTGGTAAGTGCCTTTCACTGCCAGGGTTAAATGTTCAAGACAAAACACTATATTCTATTTGGCAATAACAAAGATGACAAATATAATAGCGATGCAGTGTATTTATGAATCTATGAGATAGAATCTTAACATGTCAAGCTTAAAAGCACAGAAAAAGAGGAGGAAAAAATAACTTTAAAATACCTCCTGCTCCTTTAAGAGCGTCCACTTCAGCCATCAGTAATGTCTCCCTTGTATTTAAACTGTAGGAAAAATAAAATATCATCTCTTAACATAGTGAACATATGATTGCGTAACTATCACAATTACTATAAATACATTATCTGACAACAGTAATTGAGGGTTGATGGCAAAACTGAAGTAACTTATATGAAATAAGGAAGGACTTAAAACAGTTTTTCGGTGAACCCTTGATTATTGTCCCATCTTGAATTGAAAACAAGTTCTAGGAAATTTGTCAAAGAGCCAGGTTTTTTTCTTATGCAAAAAACGTATTGTGCAAAAAAAAAAAAAAGAAGAAGAAAAAAATTGCAAAGAATGAAAAAATTACAAAATTCCAAAAATATGTGTCAGGACACTTAATGATGTAAGTTTGGTAGAAATCCTTGGAGTAATGTAAGGAGCAGTAACTGTTATGAACAGAAAATAATTGTTTATACTGTCTATACCAAAATGTTTATTGTGTTAAAATGTTTAAGCTCATAAATGCAGGTGTATAAGCCAAAGTCAAAGTTGCCCCCCTCCCCCTCCCAATCACACCCACCTTCAATCTTAATATCAAAGCTAAGGCAATTTTTTTTTCTTAAACACTCCCACCACCTTTATCCTAAATCTTAAGCTGAAAGTTTTGAATAGGATTTTGTTGCTAAAATAAAAGATTCAGTATGGTACTTTGAACAATATCATTATCAAATTCATGAATAGCACTTACCAACTTCTGATTTCATCAAACACAGTTTTAATTCTCTTGTACGACCTGTCAACTTCCTCATTAAAGATTAGTCGTAAACGGTCAAGGGATACCGTCTGTCTATGAAGATCCTTCGCTGACCTCTCCAAACCCACTGAAATATAAAATAGTGATCTCCTACATACAGCCCCACTTACTTTATCACTTAAGGAAATCACACTCTAATGCTTCCCTCATCATTCCCACCCCCCTCCACCTCCAAATTTTTTTTCAAAGATCGGCCAACACGGGAATAAATCAGCTATTTCCGAAATGCCATTTTGTCTTTATCTTGGTCATTTTATCATTTGAGATTTCAAGATTCTCATATGGAAAAATAATTGGGACCTATTACAAGGTAAGTCATTACTGAAGATCTACAAATAAATTTACAACAAATAAGATAAATACATTGTGTGTAACTTGTACTTGATTTTGATGGTTTTTGTGCCAGACCATTTAGTCATTTTTGTAATTCCTCCTCTAAGGTTTTGTGATTCATCTTGCTAAGTCACTTAAAAATGTAAGAAATTAAGTTACATTTACTTTGGAATTTAGAATATTTGTGATTTTTTTACAGGTAAATCTGGGTTTGAAATTTTCCAGGTAATTCCGGGTTTGAAATTTTCCAGCTAATCTGGGTATAATCGAACTTTTACAGTTTATTACTTCTAGGGTTTGCACTATTTAATGGAAAATAAAACAGAAACAACTGGTTGATCACTCTATCGTGAAAGGTAGTGCATTATCACTGTACTGGTAAAAGTTTGTTCGTACCACCAGTAACCCTACATTTTCAAAGTTCCAGATAACATCTATTAAACCAAAGTTATAAAATCGATTAGCCAACAACATACAGCCTTGATAAGACAGCACAGACTATGGTGTCTACTCAATTTTTGGCAACTAATTACATCCACATACATAGGAAAGGGTTGAAGAAATATAAATTTTCAAATAACATACAGTGAGCATGTTTTTTCCCTGTTTTTCCATCTGTAGACGATGTACTTGTAGTTCTGTCCCTAGTGTCATTGTGGCCATGAGATCCTGGTAAAATATAATTACATTGATAATAAATATATAAACATAACTATGTATTATGTAAAACCACTAAGATTGGTACAGGGTTTAAACCACAATAGTTTTTAGCAATGTATGTAATACATATAATATAAGCATGGTTATTGTTTTTTGTTTTTTTAGTTTTTATACTGATTTTAACTAATGTTTTGGCATATCTCAGCACCTGAACCATTTTTAACCTGCTTTCCTGGTTTCTACGCCCATTACACAATTGTTTGGTCCTATCTTGTTGGACAGTCAACCAAACCAAAGTTCCTGGAAAACTAACCAGTAATTACCAATTTCTCTGCAAGTGACCAACTACTAATCCCACATGATTTCTGAATTAGTGGTGAGAGACAAATGTCCATCAGATCCGATGGTCTAGATCAAATGTCACAAAGAAATTTCACCTCACCCAAGATCGATTCAGCACCCCATATAATTATTACTTATTAGATTATTATTAGTATTTCCAGATTTACTGGTGGAGGAAGACCTTAGGTGCCCCAACATGCATTATTCCAGGCACAAACGGACACCTGAGTAGAACCACTGACATTCGTTAAGCTAGCTGGATCGCATCCTCACATGAAAGAATCCAAAGTCCCTCTCGGCATTTGAAACCACAGAAGTAAGGGGCAAGTGGTCAACAACCTTCATTACTCGGCCATGACACCCTTGGACCACTTTGGTGTCTTGATAAAGACCAGATGGCATCAAAATAAAATTCTATTCAACTCTTTTTGTCATATGTCAATGGTCAGTCAACCATACCATGTTTTCTGGATACCTAACCAGTAAATTTGTCCGCAAGTGTCCAACAACATTGTACTTGTTTTGACATCTATCAAAAAAATACTTCTAATAATGAATATACCTGAGTGTGCTCGTTGTCTATTATGATGATGATGATTTGAATGATGCTGTCTTTGAGGTTGAGGACTAGGTGATTTTTCTTTGGCCCCTTTATTATCTCCTTTGACCTTCAACTCTGGTTTAACCTTGACCTCTTCTGCTGACTGGGTGACCTTTGACCCTGACTCACTTGTTGTAATGCTGTTAGGTAAGCTGACATCATAGTGGTTGCTATCTCCTACAGCTGTTGTAAAGGCAGAGTGGGTGGGGTAGGAGGAGGTGGGGTCAGAGGGGGAGTCAGTGGGCGGGACATGATATGTTTTTGTTGTTGGTCCATTAGAGAAAATTGTTGCCGAACTATTCACATCTAATTCTGAAAGGCATAAAAAAACCATAAAAAACAATGCAAAATAATAAATCTTTATAATATCATACAAATATATACAATGTAAGAGTATCTTGTAACTATGAACAACAATAATGTAATGCTACAACTCCTCAAAAGCAAAGTTTCATGTATCATTTTGGGTATGTTTTCAATTCAGGCATTTTCTTAGCATTTTGTTTTATTTCATAATACAATGAACTTAAAGGTGACCATAATTTCAATGATTCCTAGCACAAGTCTAGTCATCTGTTAACCCTTACTATACTAAATATTTTAACATAAATGGACTTGTGCATCCTGTCAATCTGGAGAAAACCGTGCCATCATTTTGAAGGGAATTTTTGAGTAACAGACTGAAAGCGAACAGTGAAGACCATGATCAGATGGCATGCACATATGTGCTGGTTGATCTTGGTCTGCACTTGTTGCATGGGCATTTTAGTTGTTACCAGTAGGCTACCTATACTCATGGGTAAAAGTTAAAAGATGTAAATCAAAAATCCTGAAAATCATGAATTAAATATTATTTTTATAGTAATAAGTTTTAAGTAGACCAAGAGCTGTTGGTAGAACAATGTGCTCAACTTTTCTCAATGCTTGGTAGTAAAACAAGAGCCTGAATCATGTAGAATTTTTAAGCGCACAAAGGGCCATAATTCTGTCCAAATTTATGTTAGAGTTATGGGCCTTGGACACTGACTTTTTTTTAATTACGCTCTCAAATAAATGTTTGAAGTTTCAACCCATAACCATCAATTTTTTTAGGAGATATCAACTTGCATGCAAAAACTTAACCAAAGTGTGGCGCCAAACCATGGAGAGTACAATAGCTCTCCTTATTCTTTAAATATTCGAGCTAACAAAAAAGCTTTTTGAGAAGAATACATTCAGAAAAATAACTGACAACATTTGCCCATGCATTAACATCTAAAAAGGTTTTTATACAAAGAATATTCCATTTACATCTGACACTTTGAGAGGAATGCTTGGATACTGAAATATCCCTGAATAATATTCAAAGCATTCTATATTAAGCTTTCACTTTTATAGAAAAGCTGAGTAATTTAAATCTAATCAATAAACATGTATACATAAATCTATTTACATCAGGTAAAGTGCACTGCAGATTGCATATTGATATTGTTAATTCTGCCTACTTTATAAACATTTTGAAGAAATTAAAATGAATGCAGGAGATATTTCTGTAACAGCCTATAACAGCCTAAAATTTTTTGACTGCCTATTGCCTTGTCCTTGGCATGTGCTACAACTTACAATTCACTTAGGATTTAAAACAAAAATGCAGCCCTGAGTATTTACTCCATAGATTTTGGATTCAAATTTCATAGAGGATATTTGTTTGTTTGTGTGTAAGATGAAATTTTATTTCATCGAGTGGGCTTTAAAAACAGTATTCTCACGAGTGGCGAAGCCACGAGTGAGAATACTGTTTTTAAAGTTCACGAGATGAAATAAAATTACATCTTACACAACAAACAGACAAATTTTCTTTTTATTTTATGCTTAAAAACAAGTTAAAACGAAATTTCCATAATTTTAACGTTAATATTAAAACTGTTTCCCCCATTGAGAGCCCCATTTATTCGGAATTTCTCATTAAAAAAAGAAGTCTTGAGCTGAAAAATAAGTCCGCCAATCAACATTAAATGACGGTGATATTTATTAATTTTATTAAAAAAATATGAATGATCGCTTGTTTTGATAATAAAAACAAACAATTCTTGTAGGAGAAAAAGTCCAACCATCCATCCATATTTCTGTTACTTAGCGCGAATTTATATTAGACTTGGCTTTGTAAATTGTAAGCGGCAGCCATTTTTTAAAGTTGTGTATTTCATGGGAGGAAAATAATTGTGAAAGATTCAGAGGGATATAATTTGGATTTGTTAGTCATACACATTTTTAAAAGAAAGAAAACTTATTTGAGGATTGTAACAGACAAAAAATAAGTGTTGACAGATGTGAAAACATTCAGAAAAGGAGCTAGGAAAATGGAAAACTTGGAAACCTGCTCAAGAACGCTGGGTTGATTTAACTTATTCTTCGAGTTATGGCTGTCAATGCTTTCAATTTTTCATAAAGCATACGGCAGTTATTGCTCGTAGGATACTTTAATATGCCCAAATGTCATCAAGAGCAGTTTTGCATGGGGAAGGAATGTATTTTTGAGACTGTCAAAATGAAACAAAAAAACGAAATTTGGTGATTGGAATTTCATGAATTTGAATGAATAGAAGTAAGTTTTCTTTTTATTACTTTTGACATTTAAGTTATTTATCAATTTCAGTTTTGCTTTTTCTTTAAACAGCCTGACATTGTCAGAATTGTCAGCAAAAATAAAATTGAGGTACCACATGGGGAAAATCTTAATAAAGTAGTTTCGTCATTGAAAAGAGTGAAATTATATTTTGATAATTTTCACTGTGAAATTACCAAATATAATTTTCACGGATAAATCAGTAATCCACTGAAAAGCATAAAATAAATCTACTTATTCCGTAAATATTTTTTGAAAAAGATTATTCGCTCCTTAAATAGCATACCAAAACATGGGGGTTATATAATTATATTGTGTTACATAAAATAATAATGAAAAGATAAAAAAAAACTTAAGGTAATACAAATATGTAATATTCCGAATTCTGAGAAGGGGAAACATTACATTGGTCTCAATATGACAAACCTAATTCAGAACAGTTTAAGTATTTGTGAAGATAAGGGAAATTCAGGGAAATCAACAGTCTTATCTAGAGAAAGCCTCTAATTCATGCAAAAAATAAATCTACCAAGGACATAGATTCAACAGGAATCTGACTTTTAATTTAGAGAAATAAGGATAGATTTGGCCTTTTTTTTACCATGATCTAAAACTCCATTTGTGATTGGAAGATGGGAGATATCTCCATTCACTATAACACTGGTGGCTGAACCGGATTCGCTGTCTGGAGTTTGTATCGTGTTCGTAGACTGTGCTCCGCTACGAGGTGCCTGAGATGATGACGATGATGATGTCTTTTTCTTGTTGCGTTTTTTCTTCACTGGCTATAAATAAATGAAAATTTCAAACATTATTCACATGTCATATTTCTAAGATACCTTTTTTCCGGTTATAGGACTTTATTTACTCATCCATTAGACTAAGCACTTGAAAGGCAGGGTCTAGATCTTACATTTTGAGCAGCTCATTTTTGCTTTGATACTTTTATATTTAAGACAGGTTGAAATTTCTTAGGCGTTTGCGTACATTTACTTTGGGTATAATTCATGGTTAAATAAATATCATTATCTGAGGTATACCCTAAGGAAAGAGAACGAAAGAAAGTAACCTTAAGAAACTTTGGAGTTACCTACCTTTGTACCTGAGAACTGCCATTCTTGTAGAGCCTCTTTGGCTCCATCTGAAAATAGACAAGCATTGATTTTTCTCCTCGTATATCTTTATTTAAACAACATATCAGAATACCATATTGACACTTGATCTAAACTATGGCTTAACTTCACCTTTAAAGGCACACCATGACCAGGAGATGAATAACATTTCTTTGTCCTTCTGTAGAAAGGGCAAATGATTGTGTTTATGAATGATGTAAAAATAGATTTAGAACATGGGAGTAATAAATGTTTATCACCTGAAGAAAATAGCATTAATTGTATGTGAAATTCCAGGTGATAAAAGCAGCAAAATGTAAACAAAATATTATTTTGACTTCCATACAAACTATTAAATGGCTATAACTGTACTAAGTGCAAAAACCCTAAAGAAGCAAAATGTTGCCCAGCAATTAAAGGCCAATGAGTAACTTTTTGGAAACTATAACAAGGTACCAAAAAAACAAGCTTTTGAAAAATAAAATTTATAGCATTATTAGGGCTCAATGGGCCTTTAAAGCTCATTAAATTATAATAACAGTAATATATTGAAGATTTAGAACACTGTAATGTGATCTCTTCAGCCGTTAAAGCTAACAAACATGGAGATATATCACTTATTGATACGCCTACAGCATGATCTTTGACTCAGGTTGCAATTCCATGTAATATAATGATATATACATACTGAACAAAATTCTGAAAAACAACTATGCAGGGTCAGAAAAATCAATTTTCTGTATTGCCCAGGGTTGTTCCACAGCCTGTGCAGGGAAGTGATATTTTTTCATAAATGTCATACGGACAGTAAAAAAATTATTTAAATGAAACGGACAAGTGTCAGGGTCAAAACCAGATTTTGCCGACCCTGGCTAGGTAAATCATTACGTCTTCAATTAAGTTTCGGAGTCTTGACACTTAATTTGAGAAATGCCAACATACCCTAATATACCATATATGTTACATTCTAAATTATTGTTATAGGTATTTGTTTACCATTTGTTTGATGACAATGAAAAGCTATCATGTTATATCTTAAAAAATGATATATTACGGATTCTTTTTGTTAATAAATGCATCGAAACAGTGGCACTGTGGTGTGTAATAAAAAGATGTTTATACATGAAGCCTTAATGAAGCTGCTTGTTCTAATAAAGGCAATTTAAATACAGTAACTAATATTTCTTTTATTTCATTGAAAAAGAAAATTCATAACAAGAACCAAACCTTTTACTTAAAACTAAAATGTCTATAGCATTAAGTTTGACTGAAACTTACTAAATCCTTATCAACCAACATTTTGAATTGCTAATTTTTGTGAAACAGTTATTTATTAATTAAGCTACAGTCTCACTTACATCCCGGCAGAGCCCCGGCAGAGCCCCGGAAGACGTCCGGGGTGATCCGGGAACGACCGGGGTACGACCGGGAACAACCGGGGTACATCCGTAACTCTGCCGGCAACGTCCTGGATGATCCTGGATGATCCGGGAACATCCGGCATTCGACCCCGGATGGAATAAAATATTTAATATCACCGGGGTGGTCCGGGATGATCCGGGAAGGTATAGCTTTACCGGCTTCATCCTTAGCTCTGCCAGGAACGACCGGGGTTATACCGGGAAAGCACCGTAGCTCTGCCGGCACAAACCGGGGATGATCCGGGGTATGATATAGCCGGTAGAGCTAATGTAGAGCTACGGTAGAGCCCCGGTATATGCCGGCAGAGCCCCGGTAACTACAGGCAGAGCCCCGGAGGATAAAGGTTGAGCTACGGTTAATCCCGGTAGAGCCCCGGTAGAGCCCCGGCAAAGCCCGGATCATTTCAAAAGAATAAGGACAATTTGCGATGATTGAACTTGTTTGTATTAAAAGCCTTACCTTTTCCCTTCTATCCAGTATGGCATAGGGATTTTTCAGAAAATCATCATGAATTACTATTCTGGAGCAATAGATATTATATTAGATAAAAATTATGTATCAAAGTTATCATTTTCGGGCGTTTTCAATCCACCGGGGTTCTACCGGGGCTCTGCCTGGATCGTCCTGGGCTCTGCCGGGGTTCTGCCTGGGCTCTGCCTGGATCAACTGGGGCTCTGCCTGGGTCAACCGGGGCTCTTCCGGCGTCATCCGGGAACGACCGGGGAAGCACAGGGATGAACCATAACTTCACCTGGGCTCTGCCTGGATGATCCGGAGCGCATCCTGGGTGGTTAGTAGGGAACTACCGTAGTGCTGCCGGGGTAAGTGTGACCGCAACAATAATTTCATCCCGGATCGTCCCGGATCATCCCGGTAACTTACCGGGATGGTCCTGGGCTCTGCCGGGAGTAAGTGAGACCGAGGCTTTAATTGTTTTCTGAGTGGTTACTAAGATATGTTTAGTTTCATCATTTAAATCTATAAGTATTTTTCTTCTTTTTTTTATATACTCTAGGCTAGGAAGTAATTGAAATGACGGTTAGCGATAAGAATTCACATGGTAATTGAAAAATTCCATCAAGTTAACAAGAGCTGTCCGTAAGACAGCGCGCTCGACTTTTTTATTGCTTGCCAATAAAAAAAGTTTTTGCAGTAAAAGGCAATACAAGAATCTCTGTATTTTTAAAGTGAACAATGGCCATGAGCATTAAGATATTTAGTGAAGAATTATTTTACTGAATTGTGTGATACCCTTGAACACTGCAGCAAAGTTTGAAATGTTTAAGTCAAAAGAGGGCTGGTAAGAAAGAAAAAAAAACTGAGTTGAGTTTTTTAGTGCTTGCCTATAATACAAAACATTGACAGTTAAGGGCCATAATTCAAATAAAATCTTTGACAGAATTACCTTCTCCTGGACATGTTTGGGAATCATGATTGTAAACAAGTATTCCAACTTTCAAATTAATATCTCAAACAGTTCAGTCAAAAAGTGGACTGGTACTAAAAACTTAACCAAGATTCTAAGTCGATAAAAGGCCTTAATTTTTAAAAACAAATCCTTGACAGAGTTACCTTCTCTTGCGTACAGATGGGGGTAATGATGTGAAATAGCATTAAAAGTTTCAAAGCAATATCTCAAAGGGTTAAGGCAATAAGTGGATTTTTACCCATATTCAATGTATTTTCTAAGTCAAAAAGGGGCATAATTCTGTCAAAAACCTTGACAGAGTTATGTCCTCTTGTCTGTTGATGAAGGTCGTGATGGTAAACAAGTATGGTCAGTTTCAAAGCAATACCTCCAATGGTTTTGAAATAAAGTGAGGTGGTACAAAAAACTTAACCAAGCTCAATACACTTTCTAAGTCAAAAAAGGGCCATAATTCTGTCAAAAACCTTGACAGAGTTATGTACTCTTGTCTGTAGATGGAGGTTATGATGGTGAACAAGTATGGTAAGTTTCAAAGCCATACTTGTAATACTTCTGAAATAAAGTGGGGTGGTACGAAAAACTTAACCAAGGTGTGACGCCAACGCTAACGCCGACGCCGACGCCGGGGCGAGTAGGATAGCTCCCCTTTTCATAGAAAAGTCGAGCTAAAAAAAGAAAATGTTTGTGGTTTTGGTTATAAATAAGTAATTGATAAATAAAAACCTATTAATTAATTCATGATGGTTCAGTTATTAGACTCTCTGACAATACATTTAAGAAAACAAGAAACTGCACAAATGCCCTCCTTTCTAGTCCTTAAAATTGGCTCATACTATTGATAATTTTGTTAAAGTGGGTACATGGAAGTGTTTACTCATAGGAAAAGAAAAATCATGACAAAAATATGAACTGAAACTGAATGAAAGCTATCATTAGTATTATGAGTGGAAACCATTCATTTAATGTCCCTGTGACCTTGACCTTTAACCTAGTGACCCCAAAATCATCAGGGGTCATCTACTAGTTATGACCAATCAGTATGTGAAATATGAAGACTGCCCAGGCTGTATACTGGTGGTAACTCAATGTTTTTTGTTTTTTTTTCATATTAAGATATTTGAGATTCTTAAGGAAATAACAAAATATATTTCTTTTATACAGGTGTTTTAAAATAAACTCTTTTTCAATATTCATTGAATATTTTGGAAGTCACAAGCCTATATATAAAGGAGTAAATGACTCCAAAACTTCCACTAACAGATGCCCTGTATCAATTTTTGCAGCAGATATATAGCTTTATACATTTAAATATAGAAAACCCAGAAAATGCTTAAGAACAACGAAACAAACATCCCCTTACAAATGGCAAGACAAACAATGAAGCAAAAATGCCAATAAAAAACAATTTGCCTAATATCAAAGTTAATTATAGTGTATGCCATAACATCAGACACAAAATGTAATCAAGTGACCTAAATCTGATAATAATACATGGTTCAATCAAGGACATAGTAAGTTCACCAAGTTATACACCAAATACTGAATATATACATACACCAACAACTTAGATAAGAATAAAATCTTCCTTACAAATATATAGTGTCCCTAATTGCTGATTAAACTATTTTTAAACACTGTGATGATAATTATGCCTATTAAATTGTCAATGAAAAATTTGAGCATAGTAAACATGAACCTACCTTATCTATATTGATTTGAACATGTGTGACATTATTTTGGCTAAAATTATATTGTTTAAACCTGCCTGACATTATTTTGGCTAGAATTATATTGATATATGAACCTGCCTGACATTATTTTGGCTAGAATGACATTGATTTGAACCTGCCTGACATCATTTTGGCTTAAATTATACTGTTTCAACCTGGCTGACATTATTTTGGATAAAAATATATTGACTGAACTTGCCTGACATCATTTTGGCTTGAATTTTTTATTACCCCATTTATACTTGAACCAATCTCACATTATTTCCTCTACACTTGTAATTCTTAAAAATTTATAAGATCTCTTAAAACTGTGTAAATCTTTACGTAACAAGTAGCATAAGAGCAAGGTCTTCAATAACAGGGAAATGAATAGGGGAAAACTGACTTATTTTAAATTACTCCAATGTCACATAATTTAATGGCCTTGATATTTTTTTTAATTTCTTCCTTACATTACTAAGAAGCCCACCTTCAGTAAATACTTAATGGCAAGTTATATACACTGATATACCCCCACTTCTTAACTGCAACTTTTTTTTTTTGTATTTTGGTTTGATTTTTATGTTGCACCAACACAGTAATATATATCATATCATCTTTCCAGCTTTACTGGTGGAGGATGACCTAAGGTGTCCTTCTCTGCATTTTTTCAGGCACAAAAGGGCATCTGAGTAGAACCACTAACATTCTTTACTCTAACTGGATAACTTCCTAACATGAAAGAATCCAAAGTCACTTTCGGGATTCGAACTGCGAGAGTGAAAGGCAAGTAGTTTCAAAATATTCTAGTAAGGCCTGTATATAATAAATTCCTGCAAAAGATCCAAGAAAGGTCAAGGTTACTGAATGCCGTCACTTACCTTCAAGATAGGCCTGTATAGTTTTCTCTACATCATAGTCGTAAAATTGTAGCACCAGAATAATTTCATTGTTGCTTCTCCCACTGACAACTTCTCTTACTGAGTTTACCTGAAAATAAACAAAACATTGAAATACATAATTCTTTTGTCATTTTTTTCTCAGTTGGGTTTTATGTACCATCATACACAGTATATGTTTGTTTGTTTTGCTTGTTTGGGTTTTACGTCACACATACACAGTATAGCTGATATAGTGACGTTCCAGCTTTACTGGTGGTGGAAGACCTCAGGTGCCCTTCCGTGCATTATATCAGGCTATAACAGGCACCGGAGTAGAACCACCAACATTAAGTAAGCTAGCTCCAGGATGGCTGCCTCACATAAAAGAGTCCACAGTCCCTGTTGTGATTCGAACTCACAGTGGTGAGGGGCAAGTGGTTTGAAATCAACGACCTTAACCACTCCCCCACAGACACCCTTGAAATATATAATATACCATTTATACATATAAACCATAATTATAAGTACGTAAATTACCAAAAAGAGGTCAAAATATGCAAAAATAGCACTTATCTGTATACAGTAGAAATTTGGTGATAAATACTGCAAAATCAGTCATTAATCACATTCAGCATGTAAATTATTACATGAATATTGAATCTTTTTTTTTACTTTTCTTAAAATCTTGGTACATTTTTTTTTTTTTGCAGCCTGACTGAACATATTTCTATAATTTATTTGACTAGTATTACAGACAATTTTTTTCAGGACAAACAAATAAAAAGTGTTTTATTTTTCTATAATGCACATATTCAGTTCAATTTAACAATTTAATTAACTTGTATCTGTTGCCAGTCACACTATGTCACCATTAATTCATGTTTCAGTTCATCTAAAGTACTTTTGTGGTTTTTTTTTATCAATTTCTATTTGACAAATCTATATGTCAAATCTCTTATCTACACAGACAACAAGGTATCAAGTCACAATGAAAAATATACGCATTAACAAGCATTAATGTTCTATCAATGGTTATCAAGTACATGTATAACCTTCATATACTAAAGATTTAATAGGCAACTCTTCAAATAGAAACACATAATTACTATGAAGAGTCTGGCATCCTAGTTTGCAGATTTGTTGACCTAATTCTGCCTAACTATGACTGACCTAAATTTGCCTATGACTGACCTAATTCTGCCTAACTATGACCTACCAGTCTAGTACTTCAAACAAAGGTCTCAATTAAAAAAAAACTCTCTTAAAATAAAATGTGAGTAACTGCAGACATTTATAAAATTATTGTGGCAAATTGTCCTTTTATTTACTGCTTACTACACTTTAAAATCTTACTGCTTACTACACTTTAAAATCTTACTGCTTACTATACTTTAAAATCTTTAAGGCAGAGATAGAAAATTCCACTCATCTGATTGTATTTGCTAGTATACAGTATTTGAGACAGAACTCGATGCAGGACGAGCAGAAAAATGATGCCTGCACACTGGATTTAGGGTTGAGAATTGAGTACCGCTCACGCCGGTGCTGGCGGGGGGGGGGGGGGGGGGGGTTGAGGGATGTTGCACTATATCACTATTCCTAATGTACAGACCCAATCAAGCAGAGTCTGTAATTTTCATGTAATTTTGCTGTTTTTAATCCTTCTGAGGGATCACTTTTTTCCAGATATTTTTACGTAACAGAAACAAAGGCAAACAATTTGTATGATAAAATGATGGATATTTTATAAAACAAATTATGGACGCATATCTAAAGGTGAAATAATTTTACACCTTTTCAACAATAAAATATGACACAAGGTTTTTCCTGTTTTATATTTTTTTAATATAGGTAATATATCATCTGGTTGTAGCATTTATCAAAATTAACATCCATTTATAAAATATAAGCTTATTAATGACTAGTTGACAGTTGTCTGCATGATAATGCCCAATAAAAAGTGAAGCAAGCTGATTTAATTTAATTATGCACAGGTATGCTAAAGTCTTAATAGGTAATAGTGCTAAAAATAATTTTAAAGATTTTTTTTTTTCTTTTTTTTTTTTTGGGGGGGGGGGGATAATGGGACTAGTGCAGACCAAGTTCAGCTGGAAAATCTGTGCTGCCTGATCATGGTCTGCACTGGTAATGAGTCAGTCAGTACATTTTTTTTTTAATTTCTCCCTAAAATTGATGAATGATTTAAAGTCCAGATTAAAAGATGGACAAGTCCATTTAAGATATTTAGAATGGTATTGCTTAAGCCTTCACTATGTAGATTATTTTAACAAATTTCAACACTCAAAGCCTGTACAGACAAATAAGATTTCTTCCAAAATTTACTTTATAAATAATGACAAATAAAGAAATGCCTCAGATAAAGCATAGTAAGTGAAGATGCTTAGCATCATAGACTTTAAACCTTTTGCCTTTCATCAAAGACCTAAAACCTTTTGCCTTGCATCACAGACCTCAAACTTTTTGCCTTGCATCACAGACCTTAAACCTTTTGCCCTCAAACTTTTTACCTTGCATCACAGACCTCAAACTTTTTGCCTTGCATCACAGACTTACCTTTTGCCTTGCATCACAGACCTTAAACCTTTTGCCTTGCATCACAGACCTCAAACATTTTGCCTTGCATCACAGACCTTAAACCTTTTGCCTTGCATCACAGACCTTAAACCTTTTGCCTTGCATCACAGACCGCAAACTTTTTACCTTGCATCACAGACCTCAAAACTTTTTACCTTGCATCACAGACCTCAAACTTTTTGCCTTGCATCACAGACCTCAAACTTTTTGCCTTGCATCACAGACCTCAAACATTTTGCCTTGCATCACAGACTTACCTTTGCCTTGCATCACAGACCTTAAACCTTTTGCATTGCATCACAGACCTTTAAAACATTTTGCCTTGGATCAAAGACCTTAAACTTTTTGCCTTGCATCAAAGACATTAAACTTTTTGCCTTGCATCAAAGACAATAAACTTTTTGCCTTGCATCAAAGACCTTAAAACCTATTTTTTTGCCTTGCATCACAGACCTTTTGAACCTTTTGCCTTGCATCACTGACTTTAAACCTTTTGCCTTGCATTAAACCTTTTGCCTTGCATCAAAGACCTTTTTAACCTTAAAAATTGCCAAAAGATGCTTGTATCAGGTACATGTAAAAGGTTAAGAAATACTTCATACAGTATCATTAGGAACTGAAAGAGCTAAATAATTCACTTGTGACCTTGACTAATTAACCTTTACTATAAGCAGACATTTGGTTTAGAATAGATTGCCTAAACAGCCTTGCCAAAACTGCCCCTAAGATAATTCTATAGAAGTTAAAGAAGAACTGATATTCCAAGACATTCGCCTCTAATTTGACCTTAGTGAAATAAAAGATCTACATTATGTCAAATAAATCACACTGTTAAGTCTGCATTAAAAATAATTAAATTCAATTAAGATAACTGTTTATTAAATCTGTTTTAAATTAAACCAGTATAGTACAAATGGTTTTCAAACAATCACTATTATAGTTAGATTAATTTTGGGTACTGTGAGTACACTTTAATTGTAGGCATGGAACTTCATGTTAATGTCACAAAGAACATTTCCGTTGGTTGTATATTTCATAGACTGATTATTTTTCCAAAAAGTAAAATGTAAATGATGTAATGCAAAATAATCTTACAGCAGACAGAAGGGCATTTCATTGCATATTAAATTCGTATATTGACCAGGTAACACTGATTATTGAGTAACACTGATCACAAAAATGTAACACTATCACAAGATGTAACAAGATCACAAGGTTAACACTATTTACAAAGGTTAACACTGATCACAAATTGTAACACTGATCACAAAGTGTAACACTAATCAAAAAGTGTAACATCAATCACAAAGTGTAACACTAATCATAAGTGTAACACTAATCACCAAAGTAACACTAATTACAAAGTGTAACACTAATCACAAGTTTTACACTAATCACAAAGTGTAACACTAATTACAAGTGTAATACTTATCACAAAGTGTAACACTAATCACAAAGTGTAACACTAATCACAAAGTGTAACACTAATCACAAAGTGTAACACTAATCACAAAGTGTAACACTAATCACAAAGTGTAACACTAATCACAAAGTGTAACACTAATCACAAATTGTAACACTAATCACAAGTGTAACACTAATCACAAAGTGTAACACTAATCACAAAGTGTAACACTAATTACAAGTGTAATACTTATCACAAAGTGTAACACTAATAATAAAGTGTAACACTTATCACTAAGTGTAACACTTATCACAAAGTATAACACTAATCACAAAGTGTAACACTAATCACAAAGTGTAACACTAATCTCAAAGTGTACCACTAATCACAAAGTATAACACTAATCACAAAGTGTAACACTGATCACAAAGTGTATTACTGATCACAGAGTGTGACATTGACTAAAAAGTATAGCATACCTTTTCCTTAATGTTATAATCTTGAGCCACATCTGCCATGACAGCCTTTGTGCGTGTGTTGAATGTAAGAGTAGAAGAATCACCTTGACTAATTAACCTTTACTATGGACAGACATTTGGTTTAGAATAGATTGCCTAAACTGCCTTGCCAAAACTGCCCCTAAGATAATTCTATAAAAGTTAAAGAAGATATTCCAAGACATTCGCCTCTAATTTGACCTTAGTGAAATAAAAGATCTACATCATGTCAAATAAATCAGTTATTTGTCTAAATCTTGTAATAATCTGTCAAGGATGTTGAAAACAAAATTCCTCCAATTTTGACATTAAAGAAAATAAAGTTTTCCATAAACAGTAATTAAATTAAGGATATCATTGCAATATTATAGCAAAGAAATGTTAGGCCAAGGCCTTTGTGAGAAAGTGTATTGACTCCTTATACAAGCATTTTCATGAAGATCAAATTGAGATTGTTAAAGCTGCATGCCTAGCCCTCCAGATCAGCCAAAATATTTCAAGAAAATACAAGTTAAAATGTAGATTTTTAAGAAAAGTAAAAAGATTCAAGTAATAATTCACATGTTATATGAGATTTACGACAGACTTTGTAATACTTACCACCATTCAAATGTATTTCTACTGTTTGGCCTAATTCAGCAAAGGCTATTTTTGCATATAATGACCTCTTTCTGTAATTTACTTGGATTGTAAGTGTCATTTGCATGACACAATGTTTTGCTTCTAAATACACTTTCAAAATTTTCATGAAAATTAGCATGAACCTTGAAGCATGCTGCTTTAACAAGGTTTTTCTGTAATTTGACTGTGTGGCCTAGTTTTTGACCCTAGATAATCTTTTGAGTTAACCAAGAAGTCATCATTAGATAGACACTTTTAAGCAAGTTTCATGAAGACCTGCTAAAAAAGCAGTTTCATCAGAAGGACTGATTTCCTTCTGATTCGACCGAGTGACCTAGTTTTTTTTTTAACACTTCAAAAATATCAAAGATGAATTACTGAGATATGCAATCAAACAATTTTAATTATAATCCAATTAAAAACATAACCAAATTATCAAAAAAGCTGAACATCCCCAGTGACGAAGCATTTTAACTATCTGCTCAGGTGCGGAAAAAAATGCAAGCTATAAAATTTTTAAAAAAAAATTAATATTAAAAATAATAAAACAAACAAAAAAAACGACCATAAAATGCAGCTTTAAAGTTCGAAAGACAAAAAGCCTGTCAAAAAAATAAAAGAACAATATAAATCATGCATTTAATTAAATGAACCATGAATGAGTAATGTTAATTATCCACAGCCTACATGTCAATCTAGGTATGTCGCTGAGGGACTTGTGCATATGTTCAACATTTTGTCAATCGTTAAAACATCAGCTTGGAAGTGGCAGTATATATTACATTTTCATAAATGATTTATAAAACAAGGCCTCCATCATCTTTTATTACCAGTTGTAATTCATGTTAAACAGTCAGGACTATATCAAGCTATGGCAAATATTCCCTGTAGCCATTTTTTCTCGCCAGCCAAAATTTTGTTGTTCATTTTTTCAGAGGCCAGCCAATGAAAGTTAAACTAATTAGAAAATACTGTTAAATGAAAAGAAAAAAAAATAATTGGTATTACTTGCTTATATCTAATACTTTGATTCCAGATAAATATCAGTTGTGGTGGTTGACATAGATTTGAAAATGACCAATTAATGTACTGGTCTTGGTTGATAATGATGATAATGACACAGATTATATTAAATTAACCAATGGAATTGGTTGATTACTGACACAGATTGGTAATCAACCAATGGTGTTGGATGATTTACTTTAATTGACCAATAGTATTGGTTAATTACTGACATAAATTTGTAATTGACCAATGGTGTTGGATGATTTACTTTAATTGACCAATAGTATTGGTTAATACTAACATAAATTTGTAATTGACCAATGGTGTTGGATGATTTACTTTAATTGACCAATAGTATTGGTTAATTACTAACACAAATTTGTAATTGACCAATGGTGTTGGATGATTTACTTTAATTGACCAATAGTATTGGTTAATAACGGACACAAATTTGTAATTGACCAATGGTGTTGGATGATTTACTTTAATTGACCAATAGTATTGGTTATTACTAACATAAATTAATAATTGACCGATGGTGTTGGATGATTTACTTTAATTGACCAATAGTATTGGTTATTACTAACATAAATTTGTAATTGACCAAAGGTGGTGATTGATTTTTGTCATACATTTGGTTTAATTATCAAATGGTGTTGTTTAACTTAGAAAAAAATGACAATACCCCATGGTATTGGTTGATTATTGACACAAAATTGTAATTGAATATTGGTATTGGTTGATTCATGACAGAGATTTGCTTCCATTGACCAATGGTATTGGTTGATAATTGACAAAAAGTTGTGACTGCTCAATGGTTGTGGTTGGGTCTTGAAACAAATTTATAACTGACCAATGGTTGTGGTTGGGTCTTGAAACAAATTTATAGCTGACCAATGGTTGTGGTTGGGTCTTGACACAAATTTATAGCTGACCAATGGTTGTGGTTGGGTCTTGACACAAATTCATAGCTGACCAATGGTTGTGGTTGGGTCTTGAAACAAATTTATAGCTGACCAATGGATGTGGTTGGGTCTTTGAAACCAATTTGTAACTGACCAATGGTTGTGGTTGGGTTTTGACACAAATTTATAACTGACCAATGGTTGTGGTTGGGTCTTGACACAAATTTATAACTGACCAATGGTTTAGGTTTGGTTTTGACACAAATTTATAACTGACCAATGGTTGTGGTTGGGTCTTGACACAAATTTATAACTGACCAATGGTTGTGGTTGGGTCTTGACACAAATTTATAACTGACCAATGGTTGTGGTTGGGTCTTGACACAAATTTATAACTGACCAATGGTTGTGGTTGGGTCTTGACACAAATTTATAACTGACCAATGGTTGTGGTCGGGTCTTGACACAAATTTATAACTGACCAATGGTTGTGGTTGGGTCTTGACACAAATTTATAACTGACCAATGGTTGTGGTCGGGTTTTGACACAAATTTATAGCTGACCCATTGTTTGTTGATGCTTTGAATAAATTTGTCTTAATTGACCAATGGTAATCAAACATTTGCTGAAATGGACCAATAGTAACAAACAATGGCTCACATAAAAACACAAGCTTTCAATAAATTCAAGTTGCAATGGGGGAACATGTGTAAACAAAACTGCTCTTTTTATCTTAACGATACAAAGATGTAAATTAGAAAACTCTTTCAAATTCCACTTGTCACTCAAAAAATGATTGTACAATCTATGTTTCAATTCATCTTACCAAACTACTCTTACACTGTTAAGTCTGCATTAAAAATAATTAAATTCAATTAAGATAACTGTTTATTAAATCTGTTTTAAATTAAACCAGTACAGTACTAATGGTTTTCAAACTATCACTATTACAGTTAGATTAATTTTGGGTACTGCGAGTTCACTTTATTTGTAGGCATGGAACTTCATGGTAATGTCACAAAGAACATTCTGTGGGCTGTATATTTCATAGACTGATTATTTTTCCAAAAAGTAAAATGTAAATGATGTGATGCAAAATAATCTTACAGCAGACAGAAGGGAATTTCAATGCATATTAAATTCGTATATTGACCATGTAATACTGATTATTGAGTAACACTGATCACAAAAATGTAACACTATCACAAGGTGTAACAAGATCACAAGGTTAACACTATTTACAAAATGTATCACTGATCACAAATTGTAACACTGATCACAAGGTTAACACTTTTACAAAGTGTAACACTGATCACAAGATGTAACAAGATCACAAGGTTAACACTGTTTACAAAGTGTAACACTGATCACAAGTGGTGACATTGATCACAAAATGTAACAATAATCACAAAGTGTAACATTAATCACAAAGTGTAACACTAAACACAAATCACAGTGTTACACTAATCACAAAATGTAACACTAATCACAAAATGTAACACTAATCACAAAGTGTAACATTGATCATAAAGTGTAACGCTGATCACAAAGTTTAACACTAATCATAAAGTGTGACACTGACTACAAAGTGTAACACTAATCACAAGTGTAACCCTGATCTCAAAGTATAACACTAATCACAAGTGTAACCCTGATCACAAAGTGTAACACTGATCACAAGTGTAACCCTGATCATAAAGTGTAACCCTAATCACAAAGTGTAACATTGATCATAAAGTGTAACCCTGATCACAAAGTGTAACACTCATCATAAAGTGTGACACTGACTACAAAGTGTAACACTGATCACAAGTGTAACCCTGATCACAAAGTATAACACTAATCACAAGTGTAACCCTGATCACAAAGTGTAACACTAATCACAAAGTATAACACAGTCACTAATCACAAAGTGTAATGCTGATCTTAAAGTGTATTAATTTACTGATCACAGAGTGCGACATTGACTAAAAAGTATAACATACCTTTTCCTTAATGTTATAATCTTGAGCCACATCTGCCATGACGGCCTTTGTGCGTGTGTTGAATGTAAGAGTAGAAGAATCTGCAAAATAGAATCATACAAATCATAAATGTTTCAATTCCTTTTATTGTCTTCATTAAAAAACATGCCCAAACCCAATTTGCTCATATTTCTAATATGTTCTGTTTTTTCTATCTCTCTTAAAAACTATGTATTATACACGGTATGATCAAAGAATTATGCAAATAAAAACGCATGTGTCAAAAGATATGTTTAAACAATTATGAGCAATATAATGCAACTTTGAATAAGGAAAAATCACATCATTCATTTTCTCTTTCTCTCAATATATTAAATCTACACATAACAGGTATCAAGACATCACAAAAAAGATGACGTTTTTATTCAGGCCATTATTACATACATTTTGTAATTAAAGTCCACCAAAAATTAAGTAAATTTATTGATATAAAAGTGAACCTTGTATTGTTTATATAAGTATTATCATGGTTGTAGTCACTGAAAGTTCAAAATGTATACCTGTTGACATTCAAATCAGATTTGGTAATTACAATGTATTAATGTACACAACTGGGTGCTTTAAAATGATAACTATTGTCCCTTTGTCACACATTTTTTCAATCATAATTTTGCCGATATTGACTTTAGTCTTCTTTGGATGTCAAATACATACATTTCTTATACATTATCAAAGATTACACCCTCAGTTTTTGTTAAAATCTAAAACCCTGTGGAAGAACCCTTTTCAAACTGTAATAAGTCCCAGATTATCATAAATAATAGTCGAGATGTTCCCATTGTCATCTAGCATCAATACACCAAACTTGACGAGTTCAAAATACTTGTGGTTACTGTGAATCCGAGATATCAATCCAAATGTATAACATCAATAATTGTTTTGCACTTTCAATTAACGTTCAGATAAAACAATTTAGTCTTATAACAAGTGTGACCAAGCTGACGTAACTCTTAAGATCTTTGTTTTTCACATTCCACCAGTACGGCAACTTTTCAGCTTTACAAACAAGGCCCGGTCACCCTCAAATCTCAGTGTCAGCTTCATAGCTGGGACTTTACCATCTGTCTAAGGTGGGCGTGGACTTGTGAGCAAACACCATGTTTTATCTCACTGTATTAAGCAAAATATCTTTCTGATTTATTATTTATTTATCTGTCTATTGTTAGTCCTATTGCCAATCAATAACTCTTACCATGTTAAATATCTGAAATGGATTTGTCCATCTTTCAATCTGGACAAAGCCATTTACATTTTTAAGGAAATTTTCAAAATATTCCATACTGACTAAAAAACGAACAGTACAGACCAGAAGTGCAGACTGATATTGGTCTGCACATGTAAAGGTCTGCACATGTAGCATGGTAAGAATCTGTAAACTGCCATCAACCAGCTAAAACATTTCTTTTGTAAATCTTAACAATTTTTTTTTTATTACTTAAATTATTATTGATCTATTATACATAATTATATATTGCAAAAATCTAATTCTGCACAATCAAAGTTTACAAATTCACAACAAAATGTCGTCATTTTAAAAAAAAATTCCACACATTTATTTAAAAAAAAATTCCACACATTTTGCAAGCTTGCAAGTGTTAATTTCAAGCCCTGCTTTTTTTTTTGGTTTTGAATAAATAAATACAATGTTAAATGCATGAAAAATATTTAAGTATCCGTTTCAATTACTTTTACTGTATTGAAATAAGTCTCTCTTTAAATAAACTGAAAAGCATACACCTTCAAACATAATAGTTCCTTATTAATTCATCTCATATGTAAATAACCATAGACGTAATTGTAAAAACTTTTAAACAGGCAACACCCATCCACATTTTTTTTATATATTGAAGGAAATATCACCTTTTAAAACTTTTTTTCTAAATCATTCCATCTACAAAGCAGAAATATTTTTTGGAATACACATGTACATCATTAAGATTGTATGAATTCATATATTATGACAATTTCTTAGCTAGTATTAACTTGGTAAGTCCAAACTGGAGCCCCAGTTTCCAATCACAATATGTTAACGCCCACTGTGGTGACTTTTCAATAACACTATACATTTCATATTGTATTCCTACATTTTTTCATTTTTTCTTATTCACTTGTGAATTTGTGGAGGAAGACCCTATCTCAACCTGAACATCTCTCTTGTTCATTTCAAGCAACAACCAGCACAATGGATAAACCCCAAGTCCAAATACCAGCACAATGGATAAAACTCTAACCTAGACCATAGACCAGCACAATGGAAACAACTCTAACCTAGTACATACTACATAGACCAGCACAATGGATAAAACCTCTGTCTGTAGATTTGCACAATGGGTAAAACCCAAGTTCATAGAACACCACAATGGATAAAACCTCAGTCCATAGACCAGCACAATGGAAAAAACTCTAACCTAGTCCATAGACCAGCACAATGGAAAAAACTCTGACCTAATCCATAGACCAGCACAATGGATAAAACCTCTGTCTGTAGATCTGCACAATGGATAAAACCAAAGTTCATAGAACACCACAATGGATAAAACCTTAGTCCATACACAAGCACAAAGGATAAAACTCTAACCTAGTCTATAGACCAGCTCCATTGATAAAACCTCAGTCCACAAACCAGCACAATGGATAAAACCAGCACAATTCCATAGTCCAGCACATGGATAAAACCTCAATCCACAAACCACCACAGTGGATAAAATCTTAGTCTACAAACCAGCACAGTGGATAAAACCTCAGTCCATAAACCAGCACAGTGGATAAAACCTTAGTCCACAAACAAGCACAACATGCCAAGTGATTTATTTATTGGTTGGGGATGGGGGGAGGGAAATGTCCATATACCCTCCCAAGGAGCACCTTTAAAACAACCTTCATTGGGTAATTCAATGTTCAATGTATAGCAATATTATTATATTTTGGAAATTCAATGTTTTTATTCAAATAAAAATTTGGTTAAAACCCCTCCCCTTCTATCCCTCCCCATGTGATCTCCCTTTAATCACACATCCACCTGGCAGAAATTTTTATTCCTATCCCCACTAACCCCAACTTACTTTGGAAGTTTTCAATATAGTCATTTTACTGTACTATTGTACTTATGTACTATACAAATACTGGAAGTAATTCCTACTATATATATCTAGATTAAATAATCCTCAGCACGGTGACCAAGTTTTTATTCAGCTTACCGTAATTCATTATAAGGTCAAACTGTAATCTCTTAGATAATGTTTAATTCTACTTTTGGTTCCATTTTCAATTGGTCATACTAATAAAATATCAAAATAAGCCTTTTCAATACCAATGTATAGAATAAACATGGAGTGAAATACAAATATGATCTGTATAATTACAAACATTTTAAAGAATTCAGCGCTTTTTTCCCCTTGTATAGCAGGCGCCATTTATTAGGGCAGATTCCCAAAAGAATTTTTTTTATAATGATAAATCATGCAGTTTTCCCCAAAGATTGAATTGACATCAAGTTTTTTCTACCCCTTTTGCAAATATTATACCATATAATTTCCCCCAAAAATTAAGGACAAGGCTGCTTCCCCAACCTGTGAATAAAAGTCCTGGTGTTATTTTAAATGCAGAGTGGTACATCAGTTTATTTTCACAAGTACAGTCAAACCTGTGAATAAAGGTGATGCAAAGGAGAGACCAAACATGGCCTTTAAAGTGGGCTTTATGTGGAGGTAACTTTGTTCTTTCTTATCAATGAAGGATTGCCAGAGAATGCCTGGCCTTTACCAACAGGGAGATCTTTATTCCGAGCCTCAGGCGGGAGGTGGTCTTCAACACAGTGTTGTCACTGTATACAGTTCAATCTTAGTTGACCTTATTTTTGGACATTAAGTGTAAGTTTCTTTAAAAATAAATTTAAAGATAGAAAATGAATATTATCACAATGTTTGTTTTCATGATGTTAAGAATGTTATACTTCCTAGTATAAAAGCTGCATTTAATTAATTTTTTACATGAATTTAAATATTTTGCATGCCTTAATAGCAGTGTAGAAAAGAATTATCACTTACATTGTATAATTATGTAAATCAAATAAAATTTGTCCTTAAAAGTAAAGTACTTAAATATTGTGCGATATCACTAAAGGTATCGTTTTCTAGAACAGTAATAAATAACTATAATATAAATATATAGGTAAAGAAACATTGTCATCCTACGATATTATATTCTCTCCTTTAACCAAGTATAACCTAATAATAAATATCATCACATAAGCAATTTATAGAAGAGATATTACGTGACTAAATATATAATCGTGTCGGCTATTTTTAGATTTTCTTTATTTACCTAGCATCACGAATCTTAAAGTAACACCTCCATAAGGAGAAGAAAACTAAATCTCTTTAAAAACTAAAATCCACATTTCATCCAGTTCAAAGGCGTTGAATATACACCTTTTAAGTAATTATATGTACAGTATAAGTAAAGGTATACAAAAGCTGTAAAGTGAAAGTCCAAACTAACAAAAACACTGATTATCTGACATGATTTATATGTACATATCTGTGTATCTAACATGATCAACAGGGGTGCTTCCGTTATCTCAGATTTTGAAGGCCGACTTTCAAAAAAAAAAAAATTTAACATTTCATCAAAACAAACAATAAACATGATATCATTATTTATAGATATTAAGATAATATGACATAATTGGTATGTTATATATTCACACAACTAGGGCCTAAAATAAAATATTGTTTGTTTCCCCTCCCTAGATTCAAAATGCAATTATCATATTGGATTCATTCTTTGTTTATCATATTGGATCAAGCTTAATATTGATATATTGGACTGTGAGTAGCTTTTTTTAATAAAACAAATATTTTACCATAACCTTTCCCAAACTGGAATGGGTTACAAAAGGGGAAACAAAGATAATTTAAAGAGTTGCCTATAAAGTTAAATGACAACACTAATTACATCAGGAACAAAATATTCACCACTATTTGGGAATTCTTAACATTTGACTAAAGTAATTATAATGCAATAATATAGTACTAAAATCTGTCATTAATTAGTCAAAACAGTGTCAGTGGTAACAAAATCTAAACCCCACCAAAACAACAACAAAATTATGTATTGACAATGTTATTTACATCATTAAAATTATAAGATTAATGTATATCACATTAACAGTGGAAATATCTTGAATGAAAACTGCATAACATTATAGCCATGGTAATAAAGTATGTACACAGAACACAAACTCTTTCTGAATAATTTGGGAAACCCTTCAAAAACAATTACTGATAAACACACTAATTCTTTCTTTTGAAAACCCTCCAAAAACAAGAACTGATGACTTGTAATTCAAAAACCTAGAAGTTAACCCTGTTTCACAGGATTGTCACCGTGTGTAATTGACTGGAACTTTGAAAGAGGCATAGCATCCGACTGCTCAGCAGCGGACCAGAGGTAGGACAAGCATTTCAGTAGAAAGAAGTCTGATTTGACTTGTTGAGCAAGAAAATCTGTATATCCCGCCCCAAAATAGGAGCATGAAAATCAATACAGTCGCTAAAAAACACATTATTACCCTAAGTTTCTATTAAAGTATTTCTAGTAAAGTTTAAATATTCCCATTATAAAGTGAAATCCACTTCATATGAGACTTTTAAAAAGAATTTCAAACCGCATATTTAGCATGTTTACAAAGACATTATTATGACAAGTGCATAGAGCTCGAAGTTTAAATGTCATATCATTACATTTATAATTCATTAATAACTGCTCACAAAACTGCAATAATTATTATTAAAACTGCAATATATATACCTTTAATGCTGATATCTAATTTATAACAAGATTTTACATCATACCAGTGAGATGATTAATTTTATATATCTGTTATAAAAGTTACAAACCTTAAGGTCTCGATTTTCATATGAATAAAACAAATAATTCCAAAATTGGGATAACACTTAGAATGAAACACTTAACAGAACGTAATAAGGCGACTCACTGTGAAAACCAGCTTTACATACATACATACATTATACATGTACACGAACGAATTCTTTTAACAAGCATGTGTTTTTTTTTAAAGTACACATCGGGAAAATTAGGGTGTCAGATTACCATTTTGTCTGGGATTCTGAGATCCTTATCATTCAGCTGCATGCGGGATCTAACAAAACTACATTACATAGAATTTGCCCCTACTGATAATAAACTAAAATTCCTTAAAACATAATTTAAAACATATATACAGTCATATTATATAAACATCAAGCTCTGTTCAACCAACTTCCAATGTATGTCAATATAATGGTTTAACCAATTACAGAATTTCCTTAAAACTCTTTAATACATTGTTTTAATCAAATACCATAAACTTGAGCTTGGTGCTGTCTGATACCACATTCCAATGTGCGTCAATTGAATGATACATAATAAACAGTACATGTATATAAGTAAAGTATATAAAAGCAGACTCAAAGGCACATCTCTAATCAATGAATATTACATAAGACCTTAGATTGATAACAATATATATTTATATTCATAAAAATAACTTAAATATTTAAGGCCAACTAGCACGAACGATTTGCAAAGGCCGCTGATGTGTAGCGGTTATCATACCAGACCAGCAATCCAGAGAACTGTGGTTCGAGTACCGGCTGCAGCATGCCATCCTTTCATGTAGTTTTTCTGTGTATTGACTGTATCCCATTCATATTAATGACTTTGATATAAGGAGCCTTAAACCTAAAGTGACCAACCTTTGACACCAGCATAGAGCCAGTGACATTGTTAAAATAAAATGGTGACTTTTCAGCTTTACTAGTGGAGGAAGGCTGCATATTTCCTTATGTCCATTCAAGAATAACCAGGCATCTAAGCAGAACTACAGACACTCTTCAGATTATCTGTACCTTACACAGAACAATCCAAAGTCTTTGTCAGGGTTCCAACCCAAAGTGATGAGTAGCAAGTAGTTTGAAGTAAGCTATACCTTAATTACTCAGCCATAGTGAGAAGTTGCAGCACTTTGTAATAAATTTTGATGGAAAAAATCGAGGCAAATTAGTCAGATTTTGGGCAATTATGAGACCTCCCCTTGTTGCCATGGTAACAGGATATTTAAGACTGAGCATGTTGTTACAAAGGCAATGGTCCAGTCAACATTTGTGCCAAGTTTAGTATTGAAGCATTTTTCATGGTTTCATAGCAGTTTGAACTTGTAACAGGAGGCTAAAAAAATTTTCAATGAAAACGGCCATTTTTCACAATATGCTCATGAGGAAAAGGGTTAAGTTTTAAAGGTAATAAATGTAACTTTCAATTTCATAACAAAATGGTTTTAGATATTAAGTTCAAACAAAGCTTATTTGCCTGTAAGTGCTTTAGATAATTAGTGTACAAGAGGCATTTATTCGGCCAATATTTTGAAGTTACATACTAAACTGCACATTGGTCTTTCAGGTTATCAACTTTATCAGATTGTTAACAAATATAAAATGATAGTATAGAGCTTTAACTTTTCATGAACTATTGTGTTTTTATCTGTTAATAATTGATGAATCAGCTCTTCTATAGGAGAAAATGCATAACAAATATTATGTAGGTTACCAGGACATATCTTGTCAAAGACATGGGTCGGAAAGTAGTGCACCTGCATGCAGCCATTTGTAACCTGGCAGCATGCCTTCACGATTTGATGCAAATTTTCATGAAAATTACGAAAATGTATTTAAAAGTAAAATATTGTGAAGTAAACAAAAGAAGTAATTTATACACTGCAAACACCACTTAATCCAAGTAATATAACCAAGAGGAGGTCAAAATACGCAAAAACAGCCCTTACTGCTTTAGATATGCAGTAGAAATATGGTGATTTCGCTTACTTAGCAACAATTTCCGACAAATAGTCAATATCAAAACCCTGTTATGGGCCGAATATGCCGTAATTCTTTTATACAGGTGAAACAAAACTTGCTTTGAAAAATATCAATAGAATAACATTTATTTCATTGGAAAGAATCAAATATCAATTTTTCTTTGTATTTTTTTTTTTCATTAAAAAATCAGGCATGAGAGGAACCAGTTATTCTACAATAAATAAATAAACATGAAAGGTTATTCACATTAATAAAAGGTCACTGAACTTTGTACATGTACTTTGTAGCTGTCTCAGCATACAATTTGCTCTGAGCCTTAACTTAATTACATGTATTAGAAATGTAACTGACTAAAAACAAGCACAAAAACAGGTTCTTCACCAATACTATCAACTTCTTCTTGCAGTGCAGTCAGTGAACACTTCAATTGCCCATAAAATTGCTTGCTTCAGCAAAATAAGTTCCAGCAATTTTTGTTTGACTAGTATCATGGATATAATGCTTTACAACAACTCAGTCACCAGTTGTGCTCTACCATTGACTTGTAGACTACCCATTAATTTTCACAGAATACTAAAGTAGAAATTTAAGTTGAAAATTTATTTCTTGACCTTTGCCATATTCTATAATATTGGACTTATTTTATTTTCACCAGTTCATTGAGGGCCGATTATTTAGTCTAAGAAATGTTTCTTTAAACTTCTTCATTTTGAAATAACAACATAAGAACAGAAAATTTAAATAAGCCAGAATGATTTATTACAAAACATGACTGAAACATGAAACATTCTCTCTGATAAGAAATTAGCATACTATAAACTCTTTACTATATCTTTATTTCTGGTTAAAGTTAATTCTATTTTCTAGAAGATAATATATGACCAATTTGATAGTTTAATTACAGGGATTTTTTGGGGCTTATTTTACAACTGATATTCAGTCATATTCCCAATTGAAATTAGTATATTATTTTCCCAATCCACAGGTGAAAGTTCCCCAATTGAAAGTTAAAAAAAAATAATATTGGATAACAAAATCTAAAATCTTCGAAATAAGGGCTTCTTCACAGTTTAACTGTGCTTAAATGTTTGATTTGAAAATGCCATCCTAGACAATGATTCTTTGCACTCATTTAATCACTGCAAAATTTAAGTCATGCATTTTTTTCCGAATTTTTAACAAAACGTCGCTAAAATTCCCAATTTCATGGGTATTGGTCATGTTCCCAAAATCCTGGTAAAAAAAACCTGGACTATTTAGTTGATAAAGGTAGTGAAAAAAAAATCCATGACTTTGTTTTTTGTTTTTTTTTCAATTATACCTTCTTCAAAGAATTTGTTTTAATAAGGAACATTTTTTAAACTTCTTCTCTAACCACATCAAATTCAATAAGATATCTTTGTGGACAGGGAGTACACAGTTTTGTTTTACTTTATATAACTTGAAAATAAAAGGCATAATTATAGACTTTGGAAACCTAAGTTTACCAAGTAAGTACTTTAGTACTTGAACAATATGTTCCTCTTAATAAGCCAATTATCGTAGCTTGCATTTTTACCATTGTATAAATACTATACAACTTTGAACTTACTAGCAATTAGCATTTGTATTTTAAAAAAAGCTATTTTCTAATCAATATTTCATGGTTTACATTAATTTTAAGTCTGTAGAGATTTAAATGCTTATAAGGCAAAACTTTACCAGCCTATCAATCTTAAACCTTTATACTACTTACTTTGTTAAATAGACTTGTCCTGTATTAAAGGATTTACCAACGTAGAATAGTCCAATATTATTTTTAAGGGTAAATTCAGTATCAAAAAACCAACAATTGTAGAGTCTGGATGCACAAACTAGTCTTAATTTTGCAGCAAGCATTCAAAAAGTTGTATTTTCTAACTGTTAAAACAAGTAATAACTCTACAAAAAGCTGCAGTATAAATGCAGGCAAAACTTACAATTTTCAAGAGGCAATCATAAGCCTGTTTTTCAGTCTACATTCCATGTATCCATTATTGTTAAAAGTAAAGATTTTCCCAGGGAGAACTCAAATCAATTATTCTATAGCGAAATAAATCCTAGATGTCAATAAAATTATCAAAAAGATATCACAATAACTGAAGAGGAATTATATAAATATGTTCATTTGAACAACACAGTGTTTTCAAACCATCTGGTGTCAACATACAGAAGTTATCAGTTAAGTATACTGTAGTACATAGATATAAAGTAATTACATTGCAAATAAAAATAGCACTTCCTGTTTGACAACTTTTAATCATTTTCGAAAAAAACCTTGTCCATGTCCTAAAACATGACCCCAAATCTATATGAGCCTCTGCCTTACGTAAAGTAATTATTTATACATACGTATTCTCTTACCAATCTATAGATGAATGATTTCATACAAGGCATCAGCTGACATTTGATATTTAGCTTAACAAGTATCCGTTTTTTGAATGGTCCACTGACCAGGTTTCATTAGGTCAAAATCTAATCTTTTAAATAAATGGAGTAACTCACTGTCCGTGACAATCAATTTCTATCTAACCTAAACACTAAATAAAGCCATTAATTCTCTTTCAATTTCTATCTAACCTAAACACTACATAAATTCATGGATTCTCTTAGAAATTACACTACACTCATCACTGTATAATAACACACTTAGACTTTGACTTAGTTCCTTTAATTATTCAAAATGTATCTTTATGTTTAAATTAAATACACTATTACGGTTAGTATTACCCAGTTTGAAGGTGGATAAAAACAAGATTTGTCTGTAAGATAGTGTGCTTGACTTAATTCTCAGTGCTTGACAGAAAGGAAAGGGGCATAACTCTGTAAAAAAGTAACCCAGAGTTATGTGACCTGTGCCTACAATGTTACATAATCACAGAGAACAGATATGTGAAATTTCAACTCCAATAGCTCTCCCTTTTCTTGGAATAGTCAAGCTAATTAACAACAACTTTACCCATTTACGTACATAGAGTTCCAGCGTCAGATCAAAAGAAACGCTTCTCTATACATGTATTGATTGATATGAAACAAGAAAGCAAATCTGAACAGTAAAATGTTGTACCAAAGAATATCTTTTATCTCTCTTCGGGTGTTAAAGGTTATTTTGTCAATCATACTGAATATTTAATAAATTTCTGTTTTGTTGGCTGATATTGTCATTATAGACCGAGTATGACCAAATTTACCAAGGAATATACTGTAGTGCATTAGTAGAGATGTGGATACAGGGCTTTTTTAAAAAATATATACTAAAAGGCCTATAAAAGGCCTCTTCCCAATTGAAATTTGCTTTAAAGTCATGCAGATTTCCCAAAAATCTTAACATATACCAGGTTTGAATTACTCAACAAAATTTCAGCAAATATTTCAAGTATTATACAAACAGTAGCAAGGTTTGTAATGTGAAAACCTGTGAAATATGTATTGATAATTTCATGCTCATTTAAAACAGGAAGACTGTAAAAAAAGTACATAAAGTGCAACAGGGACTGCTTTCAGAGCAAATGCCCTCCCTTTGAGCTGGGATTTTCTACAGGCTCCTTCCCCAAGGGAATTCAACTATATCATGCAGCTTTCCCATAAAGTCCCAATACACATCAAATTACACCTTTCCCTTTCCAAAATTACCATATGTGTCCTTTGGTCTTTAAACTGTCCATAGTTTTTTCAACATATTTTTATATATCAATGTGAGGAAGAAAAAATTAAGAGCCTTGTGTGAGTGGTACACTAACTGCACAAATTTGTTTGTTAGCCAGGAGGTGTGGTTCAGGTTGCAAAATTGTTTAAAGCAATGTATCCTAAAGGAAATGTAAACCCCAAGCCTTAAATAGGAATAAATGCAACCAGCTTAACCCGTTACCTCATATATACGCGAAACGCACTTTCGAGCCCCCCCCCTTTTTTAGGCCTGAAATAGTGAAAAAATGTTGTATTTGGGCCCCAAACACATGTTTTCGTTTGAGAAAACTTTGGACTTGTGAGAGGCTTAAAATGACCCCAAGTCGATCATAAGGTAACATGTAACCAACGTTGAAAAGCCTTTGACTCTATCTCAATCCCTTGAGAAGTTGCAGCACTTTGAAATAAATTTTGATGGAAAAAATCGAGGCAAAATAGTGATTTTTGGCAATTTTGAGATGTCCCCTCGTTGCCATGGTAACAGGAAATTTAAGACTGAGCATGTCGTTACAAAGGCAATGGTCCAGTCAACATTTGTGCCAAGTTTGATTAGTATTGCAGTATTTTTCATAGTTTCATAGCAGTTTGAACTTGTAAGAGGAGGCTTTTCAGTTTTTATTTTTATAAGCATCATGATGTACATGTAACCAGCTTTTGAAGTTATATAATAGATAAATTTTACAATGAAAAATGCTTTATACTTGAATAAATGTCTTGTGACATTCAAAGTAATATTTATTATGTTAAAACTTATGAGGAAAATCATGGGAAAAACATGGTGTGATGCAAAAATTAAGATTTTTTAAAAAGTTAATAAAATATCATACATTGTTTTATTTCTCTTTACATTATACATGTACATGAGGATCAATGTTCTTTAATTTTGTTTCAATTATGCTCGGTTACATAATTCCATAAGTGTGTTCTTTATTTTAACCGAGTATATTTTTTGGGCAGGGGGGGGGGTATTTTTTTTTGGGGGGGGGGGATACATTGTTCAGCCAATATTGATTTTTGGATTGGGACTGGGAAATATTTCTGTTTTTTCAATTAGGACCGAAGGGTTGTTGTGACCAAAACAAGGAGGGGGGAAAAAATCGCTGAAAGTTCATGTCACCATAATTATACAACCCATCATCAGAAACAGCAGATGCAACAACAAAAGATCAATAGAAAACTAATTTTATGACAACTTTTGTATTAACTTCTATCAGAAGCTGAATGAAAAAGCCCCATGCAAAAGCTACCTTTTATTAAAATGAAAAGAAAGTCCTTGGACATTATTTACCACTTGAAGGAATCTGTCCCAATCTTTAAAAACTCCAAAGTACAGATTTGCCTTCTTACCTTATTTCATTTCTATATCTACACTAAAGAGAGCTTACACTTACATCACAAGATGAAATAACAAAAGAAAGACATTAAGCTATAATTGTGCGTAAACACAAATGAGATCCGTTTCAAGAAACTGTAAAATTAACTTCTGTTCCAGGTCACTTTCTTTAAAGATTTTTGTACAATTAAATTAATGATTTTAATGACTTGAATTTAAACTTTTCAGTACTCAAATAATTAAGTAAAATTATTGAGAATCTTTTGAACTTCACTTATCATTCACTTAAGGGTAATACTATTATGGGACAAGCAACTGGAGATAAGCACTGCCTTATCTTTTCATTTATTGCCATAATTGTGAAATTATTGTTTTTTTTGCCGGTAGTAAAATGAGTTGATAAGTCATTAAGTGAAATATTATGCTCAAGCTATCATAAGCAGACTGGCATATATAATATTCCTAAACATTTTTATTTACGTGGTCTTTACACAATGTTATGATAATAAAAAGTATTACTGTAATTTTTTTAAGGTAACAGTATCAATGTATCATTGAAACAAAACGCTTAAATCAGCTGTCAATTGGATGCCAACATAAGACCGCTAATCTAGTCTGTCAAATAATGGTGAAAATCTCTTGTGGGGACTTAGTTGGTTGCTTGTCCGGTAATATTATAAAACTACAAATTTATCTACAAATTATATACATGTTGTCCAAAATAGACATAAACCACAGATTTGAAGTAGAAGCAGTTTTTTAAATTATCAAATACACTTTTGCATTTTCCGACATATCTAGAACAGTAAAAAAAGGAAAATGCGAAGTCTTTCAATAAAGGAAAATACAACATGTAGACTGTAGCTGGTATAGTGGAACCCCATTGTATCGTGCTATTCATTGTATCAATCTATTTACAAATCTTTAGATTTTTTGCAAAATACGTAACCTAATGATTGTTAACATTTACGACAGTGTCACGAAAATCTTTCGTTCGCATTTATTTCGTGATGCAGTAAAAATGAACAAAAACATGTTTCCAGTACCGTAAGACGTTGTAGATAATAAATAGATTATAATATTGTTTCTTATTAAAAGTACATTTACTGTCTGTTTAAAAGTTCCTAATTTTTATGCCTGACATTTTTCAAAGCCAGACATCTATGTTTTCTAATTGACTGAAATATCTAACATAAGATGGTTAAGGCTTCCCCAAACTTTGGCTAACTTAGCGATTCTCACAATGCATGTTATATGGCGTGACCTAATTCTTCAACCTGTTTGACATGTCTGTAAATATCCGTATATTCCAAAGCTAAAAACTATATTTTTCAGTGATGTTTGCCATGTAAACTATTATGGCAAAAGGATAAAAAATAAATGCATTACCAAATATAAATATTCAGGGGAGATTTTGATTTTTAAAAGCAGTTGTGATTAATGGGTAAATAGATTGATACAACGGGGTTCCAGGCTACTGTCTTAGTCCGACTCATTAGATTTGTCAAAGAGACATCGAGATAATTTTGGTTGGGCAATGTTTTTTCCAACGGTTAACAGTTTGACAGTAAGAAAAAAATATGGGTCAAACCGTTCACCCTGAATTAATTAGGCTAGTACGTAGTACTAACGGAAAAGTCTTATGTTATAGGACTAGTACTGTCTTTACAAAATTTCCTGTCAATAGTTAAATAACCAGAGATCGACCCCCCCCCCCTTGTCCGCTCGTAATTACGAGTAGAATTTTAGAAAACTTGATGCAGGTCAAGTAGAAAAATGTTGAAATGTTGCCTGCACAACATTGCATTTAGAAGCTTTTCATCCTGCAGGATGAGTGACTCTGAAAATATTTTTTGTTGCCCGATCTGCACATAACCAGATTACAGTATGGCAAATAACGAGAAAAACGACAATGCTCTCTTATGTCAGTTGCAAATGAAATAAATTCAATTTGTTTATTCACAATGTTTTAAAACGAAAGTTGACAGAAAAATAATACAGTATTACACAACACTTTCTTCAAGTTATGGCCCAATTTTCACTGATTTTCAAGAAAGCAAAATTCAGATAATATTTACAACATTTTAACATGAATTTTAAATTAATTATTATTTCTGCAACA